CCTGCTGGGTGGCTGCAGGTGTGACTCCCAGGTATGCACCTGGCCTGCTGGGTGGCTGCGGGTGTGATTTTCATGTATGCACTTGGGTGCCATGAAATTACTCTTTGTATTCATGCTTGCTCATGGCCAGTGAAGAAGGCCTTCCTTGCTCTGGCTGGAAATGACCAGGTCAGAGTGTTTGTAGGGTGCAGGGCTTTCCTGAAGCCCACCTCTCTCTTGCTTACCTGGGTACATAGGTATCTAGCTCCTTCACCTACCGTAAGTAAGCCAAACTGTGTATATACGTGAGTATGTACACATAAGTGTCACATGTGTGATAGTTATGCAAGCACACATGCATACATGTATACACAGAGAGAGACAGAGAGAGAGAGAGAAAGAGAGAGAGAGAGACTGATTTTGAGAGACTTTGCTGTCCTCAATACTGGGAAGAGTTGTGGAACATAGGGTGTGGGGTAGACCTAGCCCAGAGTGTCTTCAACCCCATGTGTGGTGTTAGAGGATATTTACCAGAAAAGCCAGACTGAGCTGAACATTGAGATAAGGGGAGATAGAGGAGGCCATAGGCCAGGACCCAGCTGGGGACAGAGGTGGGGCTGTTAGTTGTCACATGTTCCTTGGGAACAGGGAGGTATGATTGAGGATCAGAAAGCACCTGAATTTGAGACAACAGACTGTCAACAAGCACGGGCCAGCCATCACCTGCTACCTAGAGCAAAGACTCCAAAGTTAGAATGATGGCTACATTTCTCGAATGGCTGGAATAATCCAAGTCATGTTGTAATGTGTGAAAACTGGTATGAGATTCAGATTTCAGTTTCGTTAGGACCGCCACATTCTCCTTTACTGTCTGTAAGGCATTGTTGTTCACATAAGCCGACTGAAAAGCCAGAGGGGCTGTGCACTTCCACTCGGGCCTCTCTATGACAGTGATTAAGCAAGTCATTTTGGAATCGAGGAAGTGCCCTCTCTACTTAGTAAACTGAAATTAGCGAGCGTAGCAGAATATAATCAACGTAAAAATGCAAACACAGGGAAGTGTGCATGAACTCAAACATAACCAGTTGGGAAGCATTCAGAGTGCTGTCAGACCGACACCCTGGAGCCTGCCTGAGAGCCAGCGATCCAGACACCAAGTGTGAGGTGAGGGGCCACGATTGTCGTGAGATGTCTCTGATCCTCATGGCCTCCCTTGGTTTGGCCCAGAAACTTGGTTTGGCCACAACTCGAAAGCCAGTTGAGAGCCTGCTCCTTAGTCTTACTGACAAAAGGGAGATTCCTTGGTAAAATCCAGGCTAGGCTGGTAGCCAACATGAGTCAGAGGCTCTGGTGAGCACCCGCCTCCGGAGTTGCAGGGTCTTAGTTTCTCTCCCTGTTTTTGTGACCAGATATCTGACCAGAAACCACTTACAAAAGGGAGACCAGCGTTTATTTTGGCTTGCAGTTTGAGAGGAGACAGTTGGTGCCGGAGGGAAAGTTTGTTGGAGCTGGTCACTTTGCAGCCCCGAAGCAGAGAGGGGACAGGAAGTATGGGAAGACTTTAAAATGTCAAGGTCTCTCAGGAACCCAGTTCCTTTAGTGAGGCTCCGCCTCTTAAAGGTTCCACAACCTTCCCAAACAGTGCTACCAGCTGGCAGCCGAGGGGCCAAACACCTGATCCATTTGAGGGACATTTCATTTCAAATCAGTGATCATCTGCCTTTGTCTAGGGGATGATCTCAGAGCTGAAAGTACGAAGTACCCCCCGGGTGAGCCCAGTGCACTGTCTGGACGAAGATGATGATGATGAAGACCGGGTGAGTGTCTGTGGTGGTGGTGGGTCTCCCCACTGTCAGCAACGGTTCTCAAGTGATATGCTGGGAAAAGCCAGAAGATAACGGTGGGGTTTCAGGAACCTGTGTCTCCAAATACCATCCCCTGCCTTAACTTTCCGTCTTTGATGCCCTCTTTGTCTATGTGGTTTTGTCTGTTTGTTGTTCGTGTGCTATGTATGTTTGTCTTTTGTGTGCGTGTGTGTGTGCGCGCTCGTGCACGCGCATATGTGTGTGTGTGTGTGTGTATATGTGTGTGCTGTTACCTATACTCTGTGTTTTGGCTCTGTGTGACTCATATCTTTTGTAAGTGTGCTATGCGTGTCTCTCTTGTGTGTTGCTGGTGTGTTCGTTTTCTGTATGCTGTGTGTCTCTTGAATGTGTGGGGTGCATGCAGTGTGGTCTGGATATACTGTGTCTCTGGGGTGCCCCCTGCTGTCTGTGTGTGTGTGTATACAATATTGTAACATCCAAGGAAACCATCCATCTGTTGCCAGAGGATGGGATTGGGGGTGGGGGGATGTCCCAGCAGAGGTAACACACCACAACATCCCCGATCACTAGTTCTTGCAGGCAGATCCTGGCTGTGTTTGGCTGTGAGCAGTTGATTGTGTCTGCTTTTTCCTCCTGTTACTTTTTCCAGGAAGAGAAATCAGAAACGTAATTGGTTTCTATCTGGTACCAAATACGAGTCTCTCGTGGATGCTCACACCTGAGTGTGCCACCCACTAAGCATGCACACACGCTGCCCATGCCCCGTGTCTGTGTGTCTATCCCACCTGGGTTACCTTGACATTGGGATTTCACTACAGGTTCTATGGGCCAAGGTAGTATTTGGCCTCTGGGTTTATATTAAGTTACATACCTTGGTAGGAGGGAAGGTTGGTCCCTGGCCTCCCCAGAGCTCCTGGAGGCTCCCGGGAAGGGAACGGATGAAGGTAGCTGGTCCAGGCAAGTGATGAGGGGGGACATGATTGGGAAGCACCTACTCTCCATGTGTGCTTCTTCAGTGTCAGCCTGGACTGTGGCTGTTTAGTGTACCTGCTCACCCACCTTGCCTATCCCCTGAGGATGGCATCAGAGGACAGAACAACTATGACACATGACAGGCGTGCACAGGCCTGATCTACAACCTTCTGACTAGCCTGGGCAACGAGTCTGGCTGGTTTTGACCCAGCAGGTGTCTTGTTTGCTGTCTAGTTGATGCCCTGTCATTGTGCCTCTGGTCTTAACTTCTTTATTTCTCTCCCACCCTGTAGGCATCTGGAGATTTTGGAAGTGGCTTTGAAGAAAGCAGCACATCACACAGGGAGGTAAGTTGCTCTATGTGGCCAGGGCATCCATCCCCTGGTTCAGACAGCAGAGGGGCATAGTCTGTGCATAGTGTACTGGTATATATGGTATCCCAGCTGTCCCTCTGTCATGCAGCTGCATGCTCACCAGTCTGAGGTTGGCCTTGTGTTCCCCTCTGGCTCTGATGTCTCTTGCCCTGAGCAAACTCTAAAGAGAGCTTTCTCAGCAGAGATGACTCAGCATTTCTGTTGCTGCTGTTGGTTGCTATGAGAACATATCTGGTTTGTGTCTAACATGAGGACAAGACAAGTGGCCTTGTCGGGAAGATTCTGGACAGCCACATTGCATGCTCTTTCTAGTCCAGGGTCCAGAGAACCCAGAGGGACTCCCGATATGGAAAGGATGTTTGAGTGAACCTCCTGGGCCTCTCTATGACCCCAGCATCTATAGTGCAGAGTCTGTCTTTAAGGTGGACCTTGGGTGTCAGCGCCAGGAAGACTACAGGATGCTGAGTGACTCATGGGTGGGGAGTGGTCCCTACCTCCATCCCCAGAAGAGGTGTTGAGGACTCCTTGATATGGGTACATTTGGGTAGGGACAGGCAGGTCCTAGGGACAGGGGATACAGCCATCTTGGACTACATTCTGTTGTCCAACAGAGTTCTGGGACATGACCCATGAAGATAGTGGCATGATTATGTTCCTATTCAAGGTCCAGTAGCTTCTGCATCTCTTGATGGCCATAAGCCGTCCTTACAGCTGTGGGTTGGATTTACAAACTACTGCCTCTACACAGGGTACCCTGGGCATGGCAGATGTTGGAAGTACAGATAGACCTATGAATGAGTGTCATGCCAGACCAGCACAGCCTTCTCTGTAGACCAGAGGCTACTTGAACATAACTAGCTTGAACATTCATAACTCATCCTTTCTTGTGACCTGACCACCCCAGCTAGGAGCCCGGCCCTGTTGTCACAGGCAACTGGGAGGGGCTTGGCCAATCTGGGGGTCCGTGTGGAAGCTTCCCTTTGGGGGATTAAAGCCATGGACCTCTGGTGTCCCATTCCCACCCAGGTCTGTGATGCCTGGGGATGACCTGTCATTACCACATCAAGAGTGTCTGGGGAAGGCCTTGTTCACGCCCTACAGCACTACCTTAGCCAGGATACTCTCCAGGGCCCATCTACCCAGACCACACAGGTACTGATAGGAAATCATCGGAGATGTAGGCCATGTTGATATGGGGCACCAGGTATTATTTGAAACTGGGCCCATGGTAGAGGGTCTGCAGGGTAGACCAGTCTCCTCCATGTGAACCATAAGAAGTCAGTGCTGGGCCAGTGCTTAGACTAGGGCTGAGGAGGAAGTCTCAGAGAGGACATATCTGCTCTATATACCCTTCAGTGACACCAGAGGACCTCACCTGAGCCATCTCTGGTGTTTTCCAACCATAGGAAGTCTCTGGACTAGACCAAGGGGGAGGCACTTTGTTCTTAGTCCTTTGGCAATTAAGGACTCTTGTGGTATATGACACCAACCTGCAGGCTATTGAAAACCTGTAGCATATACCTCCCTAGAAATGGATGCCAACTGGAGTGATGGTTTTCCTTATCTTCCTGAAAAGCCTACAAAACAGTCCATTTCATAAGTAAACCCCAAAGCCAGACAGAATGGCCAGCTCATCCATGGACGGGATAGCCATACTACCGAATAACAGAGCCAAGTGTCCTGCTCTCCTTATAGGATGTGTCTCTACTACCCGGGCTACCCCAGCCACCTCCTGTCACTTCCCCGCCCCTGGGTGGGGGCAGCACCACAGAAGATTCTCGAACAGAAGAAACGGAGGAAGAAGCCACCGTAGATTCTATAGGAGGTAAAACTTTTTGAGATATGCTGTGTGTGTGTAGTGTGCAGTGTGTGTGTGTATATGTGTGTATGTATGTGCACATGTATGTATGTCTGTGTGTATATCCATACATGCTGTAGTATGTGTGCATGCATGCGTGTGTGCATATGCATTCGTGTATGAGTGCATAGTGTATGCACATGTGTGTATGCATATGTGTACATATGCATGTGTGCTGTAGTATGTGTGTATGCATGTGCATGTGTATTCATGCATGCATGCATGGGTGCATGTGCCTGTGTGTGCATGTGTATGCATGTGCGTGTATATGCGTGCAGGTATGCATGTGTGTTGGATGAGAGCTATTTCAGAGCCAGAACTGTCCCCATCTGCAATTTTTCTGCCTTCTAAGAAGGTCCTGTTCAGGCAGGCTCCTGGCTCGGCCCCAGGAGAGTTCTGAATCAGGCAACTGTGACACATCCTTTGTCAGATCTTGGCCTGTATTGCCTTTGTCTGTCATGTAGAAGAACCTTCCCAGAGGTGGCATTTCCTGCTTCATCAGTTTTCTGGGAGAGTGTGAACTGATCCAAGGGAGGGATGATGAAAGAGAAAAAAATATGTTCTTAGTCCAGACCGTGCCATGGGTCAGCATATAGGGTCGGACATGTCTCCCGTGGAAGCCGCTGTCTGGGAGACCTGCACAGGGCCCCTGGCCTGCGGGAGACAGGGATGGAGGCTTGAGACGTGTCAAATGTGAATTGTGTGTGTGTTGGGATAGTCTCTGTGTTACTGGGTACCAGCATATGCTGGGTAACATCGTAAACATCTCGTTCCACCACACAGCTCTATGGAATTGAAGTACAGTGGAGCCTATAACTGGGCCTCTGGGAGTCGCCGGGGCTTCCAGGACTCTGGAGAGAACAGGCTATGGCTCTTCCTGATGCTGTCAGGGCTCAAGGACTCAAAGATCTGAGATACAGGGTCACCAGCTAAGGCTACCTACATTTGTTAATGCATAAGTCAAGCAAGGCTGAAAAGTAGTGACTTTCTGGCTCATGGGTGGGGTCTTGCTGTGTGGGCCCATGGGACCTTGAGGTGAGCTCTGGCTTCACGCCCATCTTCCTGTGTTCTGGGATCCCAGGGAAGACAAGAGAACATGACCCCTACTCTGCCAGGTTTCCATGGGCAGCCCCACTCCCACTCCACCCCTCTGGCTTCTGTCACCATATATGGCTTCTCCCAGAACTGTGCATATGTGTGTATGGTGTGAGGGGGACACAGTACGTAGCATCTGGACTTGCTTTGCACTGTGTCCCTTTTATAAAAAACATCCGTTTAATAGCCGGTCCGTGGTTGACCTGTTATTATCCACAGTGTGGACAGACTACATGTATTTGCCCATTTACCTAGCGATGGGCATATATGGTATGTCCCGTTTGAGGTGATTTCAGAGAAAAGTTATTCTGGGGTTTCTGTCTCATTAGGTGGTTTGTCTGTTTGCCACTCATCCCTGTGTGTGTGTGTGTGTGTGTGTGTGTCTCTGTACCTCACCTTTGATGGTCCTTAGACATCACTGTGTCACTAATGGGAGGTGGCCTGCCTTGTGTTCCCTCCCCCCCAATCCCTTGCTACCCTTCTCTCTGGGGATGAGTGTGTGTGGCATAAATATCTCTATCTATCTATCTATCTATCTATATATTCTAAATATAGATATAATATCTATATTTATATAGAGATATCTCTATGCATATGTGTATGTGTGAGTGTGTGTGTCAAGCTGGTCTTGAACCTGTGACCCTCCTGTCTCAGCCTCTCAAATGAGAGGCTTACAGATGTGAGGTGCAACCTTCGTTTTCTTTCCTTTTTTTTGTTTTTTGAGACAGGGTTTCTCTGTGTAGCCCTGGCTGTCCTGGAACTCACTCTGTAGACCAGGCTGGCCTCAAACTCAGAAATCCGCCTGCCTCTGCCTCCCAAGTGCTGGGATTAAAGGCATGCGCCACCACTGCCCGGCCCACCTTCTTTTTCTTAACAGCATCTTTAGAATAGAAAAACTTTTTCGAATTTTTGCTGAAATTTAAAGATCTCACTCCTGCTATCAGCTAAGACTCTGCCCAAGGGGATCCAAAGACCTATTTTTTAATTCTATAAAAAACCGTTTCCCCACTTGGCTCTGTCACTGTTTAAAAAATAAAAACCCTTTCCCTGCTGAGCTGACTCTGAGATGGGGAGCGTCAGCCTCCCCCACTCGAGTCTATTTCTGGGCTCTACACTGCGCTGCAGAATGCCACACCCGTCCATCCCCTTCTGTCTCTCTGAACTGCGAATCTTTGCCCTTGTCTCTGAGCCATGGATCTCACTGTCTGTTTTAACCCCAACCTCATCCGGTAGCTCAGCCCTCCAGTCTGCTCTTTGCCTTGCAGTTATGGAGGGCGGGTAGTGTCTCTATGGTTGCCTGAATTATGGACTGTAGTCGTTGCCATTCACACATCCACAAGAGAAGAAAGAAAAAAACCTGCCGGAGTTTTGATGGGGGACAGACTTGGCAGTCTTGCCGTCTTGGTAATGACTCTTGAGACCCATTATTGCCTTTTGTTTGGGTCTTGTTTGATTTCTCTTAGCAATGTTTGTATAGTTTTAAATACCCCTGAGGCACTGTTTTCTGGTCTGTGGAACCTGAAGTTCTAGGAAAGCCTTGCAGCTGCAGGGAGAGTCCATGCTGCCCTCTTGTGGTCAGACTTGGTAGTTGGCTCCTTCAGTTGGGGCAGGTTTGACTTTGGCAGATGGAAGTTGCAGGGGTGGGGGGTGCGGGTGGGAAGTGGGGAGTGGAGTCACCCTGATCAGGTGTCTGGCTTACTCTTCACTAAGGAAGCCTATGACAGACAGGGTGTGGGCAAGACCATCAACATGCCCCTCCCCCCCAGAGAACGATCTCAGCGTCATGGGCTAGGAGCGGCATCCCCCAGAACCCCGAGAATGAGGAAGGGTCCCGAGCACGCTGTTTGTGTGACTCATAGGTTTGGCCACTCTCAGTTGCCACTGCAGATCTTCAATCCTGTGAGGCACTGAGCTCACACAGAAATAGCTGTGCAAGCATCAGTTGTAACTCAAGATGGGGGCTCTGTGCCCTAGCCAAGGTCCACTAGATGCTTCTAAATAGTGCTCAAGGATTAGAGCCTTCTCTTGGTCCCCAGAAGATATATGACATGTTGACAATGAATATTTTCAGTGTCAGCAGCCACCTCCAGGTGTCATCCCACAAGCGTCTTACTAATCACAAGGGGATGGCACCTCAAGCATGTAGGAAGGACCCATCATGTGCTTCCAGGGAAAATATGCTCCTAAGCCCAAGAGTCAGGAGAGGCAGAGGGAATAATTGGTTGGTAGAATTGGCCGACTTCCACCTCAAGCTTTGGCTCACCCAGATCTCTGTAGCATTTTCTGTCTCTGACCTTTGAAGTCTTTAAGTGTTTCTTGTCTGTACACATTTATAAAAACCATTCTCAGCTCAAAGGCTGTCCAAAACCAGGCAGCGGGCCCACTGGGCCAAACTTTGGCTCCAGTAGCACTTGTGGGTTGAACACACATGAATGACATGAAACCAACACAAGAGGAGATCTTGCGTTGGTGTCTTCATGGTTCCTGTTCCCAGAGAAGAAGTCGGGGAGATGTGGGTGTGGCTGTTTGTCAGGTCAAACTCCATTATCAAGGCTGAGCTCAGCTCCCTGTATGTGGTTGTCTTGTGAGGGTCAGTATTCAGGACAGAGTTCTCGACAAGTTCCACAAATGTCCAGACAGTTCTGCGTGCGTGCGTGCATGCGTGCGTGTGTGTATGTGTGTGTGCCTTTATGTATCAGAGGCACAGTGTGGATGGTGAGATCTAGGCAAGCCTCTGGGGCTCATCCCTCAAAATTTCTGCTGGTTTTCTGTTATTCAAGTTGCATGGTTGGTGGAAGAGGGTTTTAATGGTGGAGTGTTCAAACCAATCCAGAAATCTTCTGGGGGGTGGGAGTTCAGTTGTCCCTGGGCTTGCTCTAAATGGCTGTGTGAGTCTGTGTTGACTCGTTTTTCTCTCCTGTTCCCAGTGCTAGGTGGCCATTCCCCTACATCATTCTTGGGGCCCCTGTCCTTGGGGCTTTTGGTGGATGGGAAGACAAGTGGCCATTACCATAGTCTGGGTCCCCTGGGCTATGGATGGGTGGAAAACAGGGCTTGGGAGTAAAACTTAGAGTCTGGGGCTGCGGGAAGCTTGACAGGACCATCTCCTTCTTCCCAGCTGAGACCCTTCCTGGCATAGATTCAAGCAGTGCGTGGGGTGAAGGTGTCCAGAACCCCGGAGGTGGCTTGATAAAGGTGAGGTCACCTCCCTATGACCTTGTCGCAGTGCACCCTGGAACCCTCAGTGCCTGCCATGCGTCTCATTGACTTTTCCCGAAGTCCTCAGGCCCACACTCCCTCTTCCAGCCTGCTGCTCTGTGTTCTGCACAGTCTGCCCTTGCAAATCTCCCTGACTTGAACCCCACCCTCCATACCCCCCTGAAGTCCTCTCTTAGATTTAATGCCCAGAGAACGTAGCAGCATCCATGTGAGGTGGATTGGTATGTAGACTGTAGCCTACATCCTCTCTTGTCCCTAGGGAGGCCTGAAAGGACAAAAGGGAGAACCAGGTGCTCAGGGCCCACCTGGCCCAGCTGGGCCCCAGGGTCCAGCAGGTCCAAGGCTACAGAGCCCCAGCTCACAACCTGTCCCTGGAGCACAAGGACCCCCAGGACCTCAGGGGCCACCAGGGAAGGATGGCATTCCAGGAAGGGACGGTGAACCGGTAAGTACTGGCCTCTCCTTGTGATCTGGGTGAGAGCTGAGGTCTCTGACTGGGGCTAGTGGGAAAATTGGTTGGGATCAGAGCAATAGCATCCTTGGATCGTGGGACTCCATCCTGCCTCCTGATGATGGGCACTGGAACTCAAAGATGATGGAAGCATGGAGGCCAGGCATGCCCAAGGCAGCCCTGAACCTAAACTCTATTACAGAAGTGCTGTCTGCGGTAGGTCTGGGGTCATTCAGAGATTCGCCATGACCACGAATACATTTCAATAAGAAGAGGCTTCATTAAATACTGGTGCCACCTAGGACAGCCAGGGCTATACAGAGAAACCCTGTCTCAAACAAACAAAGAAAAGAAAACAAAATAAAACAAAAAAAAAAAATGCTGGTGCTAGATACTCATGACAGCAGGACTGCAGAGGAGAGCCCTCCCTAAAGGCAACATATAACAGTCCAAAGCTTATAAAGTCAAAAACCACAAGATTACATGGATTCTGTGCCCTCGAAGGCAGAGTCTGGTTTTTAACATATATATTTGCAGGTGTCCCAGTCATTGATTAGAGTAAGCAAGTTTGATGACAAAGGCAGAAATAGCAGCAAGCCTTATTCATGATCTGTTATCTTACTAGAACAGTAAATTTTATAAGAATCGGTCATTTAAGAATAGTCCTCAGCCGGGCAGTGCTGACAAGTGTGCCTTTTATCCCAGCACTCAGGAAGCAGAGACAGGCACATCTCTATGAGTTCGATGCCAGCCTAGTCTACAAAGCTAGTTCCAGGATAGCTAGGGATACACAAAGAAACCCTGTCTCAAAACAAAACAAACAGAAAGAATGCTCTTCAACATTGGGGAAGAGCCGTTAGGGACTTACACATTAGAGGCATTTTAGGCTTTCTGGACTCTCAAGCACTCTGAGTCTAAACTTTAAATGCAGTGTTAATCACTACACTGTCAGGAGCACATGGCTGTCCCAGTTCTCAGCTTTACACCACAGAGGCGGGAGAGCGGGCGTTTCTGTGTCTAGTCATAGGGAGTTCCAACAGGACCGTTTCCGTTCATAACGGCTTCTCTTGCATGTTACAGGGTGACCCTGGTGAAGATGGGAGACCGGTACGTCTGCTTTTTCTCTGCATCAGACATTGTATAGTGTTCACACAAGATCCATGGGCCATCTGCATACAGCACAGGGTGATGGTTTCCCAGAGAGGCCTCAGAAAGACAGCTTCAACTGGGCTGTACTTTATGTCTAACGACAGGTGGCTAAAGGGAGTTAAACCATGAGGTAGAGTTTGCAGATCCTCAGAGGGGAGGAAGCACCGCAAAGAGCCAGACACCAGAGTATTAAGACAGAGGGGGGTGCAGTGCTGAGGAGATGGGGTCTTTCATGCTGCCAGAGTGGCCGCAGGGAGCTCTTTTGTACCTGACAGAAAGTTGTGCTGAGAAAAGTCAGGGCTGAGGAAGCACACAACCCAAGTTCAGGCAGAACTGGAGGTTTCCCTGAGTCCAGAGTGTCTGTCAGGTTTGCACATAAGTGTGTGCATCACACACACACACATACACACACATAAATACATACACATGCACACATACACATACATAAACACATACACACAAACACACATATACACAAACACACACACATAATACACATACAAACACACACACAAAGACACATACACATAAACATATACACACAAACACACATACACACACATTCACACATAAACATAAACACACACACACACACACACACACACACACACGAGTGACCTTACCAACTAAGTGGATGTCTCTGAAGAGAGCACATGTCATTGCCCAGACACTGTGTTAAGACTCTGTTGGTACTTTCCATAGCCAGTGGTGTCCCTTTTAAATTCTAGCTTTTTCTCTGGGGTCCCTTTGGTGACATGGCCCCTCCTGGCTTATCGGGCCATCATGGGCTCCTAAAGGTCTTGGCTGCCATCTTCCCTCTGCTCTGGAATGAGGAGCATTTGGGGCTCAAGAATCATTGTGTGAAGGGAGAGAGATGCTTCCCTCTGCCTAGCCCCTACCCTTGTCTTTTAGGGTGACACTGGACCTCAAGGCTTTCCAGGGACCCCAGGAGATGTGGGCCCTAAGGGTGAGAAGGTAATGTTTGCAGTCAAGGGCGTGGTCTCTTTCCCGTCTCAGCTCATGACTGGAAGTGGGGACCATGCGTTCTCAGCGTGACAGATCTATCTCATGTTTCAGGGAGATCCTGGTGTTGGGCCTCGAGGACCTCCAGGACCTCCAGGGCCACCAGGACCCTCCTTCAGACAGGACAAGCTGGTAAGTTCCATCCGTGGCCTCCTCCACATTAGGTCCCAGTACTCATCCTTAGGAACTGGGTCTTGATAGTGTTGGTCCTAGAGAATGGGTTCCGGCTACATGCTTGGGATGATGGCCAGGCTGAGGGGCAAAGAATGATGTCCCACCTCCCATCTCAGGCATCTTTGGTTGGTTAGGGGACAGCCGGGTGGTACTCCCTGGTACTCAAGACAGTGTCCTGTGATGCCTTCTCTTGCCCTCCCCTCAGACCTTCATTGATATGGAAGGATCCGGTTTCAGCGGAGACCTAGAGAGCCTCAGAGTAAGTGGCTACACACCACTGTCACTGGACACATGTACAGCGTGATGTCTCAGACATCCCTGGGGACACTTGGGAGTGGGATAAGGCTAACTGGGGATGTGACCATTGCCCAGCAGGGCCATGATAGATTGTCTCTCTCATGTCCAGGGCCCACGAGGCTTCCCTGGCCCCCCAGGACCCCCTGGTGTCCCAGGACTTCCTGGTGAGCCGGGGCGCTTTGGGTTCAACAGTTCCTATGCACCAGGACCTGCAGGCCTTCCTGGTGTGCCCGGGAAGGAGGGACCCCCTGGTTTTCCTGGTCCCCCGGTAAGTTCTGCCTTCCCTGCCCCAGAGCACCCTCTTGACTAGGAATATGAGGTGTGGCCATGTGAGGGTCCTTGCTGGATCTACCTCAGAACTCCCATGCTCCTTCACAAGGTGGAGGCGGTTCACATTTTGAGTTATTCTTAGGATGGGGGTGATGGGGGCAGGCTACCCTGGGGTGGTTCTAGGGGATGCTGGCCCATTAGCTGACTCTGAACCACACATTTAACCACTCGGGCCTGTGTGGATACGAGCTTTCCACTTCAGATTCTCCAGCCGATCAGCAGCTCAGAAGAAAGAACCCACACAAAGGATCCTGTGGTGGTGCCTTCTGAGCCTTGCATGCACCTTGTGGGGGAGCAGTTTATATCCCGGCTCTTAGGAAGTCTGGCTGTTACTTGCTCCTTATGGATGCTATCCAGCTTATATCATTGTTTCTCTGTCCTCCCAGGGACCTCCAGGTCTTCCAGGCAAAGAGGGCCCACCAGGAGTGGCCGGCCAGAAAGGCAGTGTTGTAAGTCAGCCCCTACAGGTGGTTGTCACTTGGCACACACTTGTAGTCACAGGGTGGTGGATGCTGAAGACTTGGGGGGTCTGTGGAGGATGCCTGCTGTAGGATGAGACCATGGTCATAACCTGCATCCTCAGTTTAGGAAGATTTTTGGTACTGGGGCCAGCGGGGCTCAGCTTAAAGTCAGGGTCTTCCCTGTGTTTCTTACACTATATAAGGACTAGCGGCTTTTCGGAGTCAGCGCTTCATTGGATTAGAAAGGGTTACTTCAGGTTTCAGTGTAGTTTGATTGATAGAAGTCTTCAGAGGCAGGCCAGCCTCTGCTAACCATGATCTATGGTGGTCTCACACTGCTGAGGGGAGGAGGCTACGTGGAGGGTGACTCCCAGCACTTCCAGGGATTTGATGAGGAAGACCCCACCCTCACCAGTGCTGTGTGGTGTAAGGTCCTTTTAAATCAGTGGATCTTGACCTTGCAAATGCTGTGACCCTTTATTATAGTTCCATATGCTGTGGTGACCCCAACCATAAAGTTATCGTTGCTACTTTGTAGCTGTAATTTTTGTAACTTATGTATCATAATGTAAGTATCTGTGTTTCCCGATGGTCTTTGGCGACCCTGGTGAAAGGGTCATTTGACCCCACAGATTGGGAACCGAGTGCTGTTTAAAATCAACTGTGAACAGAGTTTGTCTGTTTTCAGCTAAGCCTAAAGGGCTCAATGGTCAGGAGGTTCTGAGAGGCATTCCTGGGGATGGCTTGCTTAGGTGCTTTGGCTTTGTACTTTGGTGGTCCCCTCCCTGCTGAGCTCCCCAGGGGTTTCATCCTTGACAAAGGAAGGAGGGTAGGAACAGGCCCAGAAACCACTAGAATCAGCATAATTGCTATACACATCTGATTTTATTGTAATCTTGTCCTTTTCCTTCCATAGGGCGATGTAGGCATCCCAGGACCGAAGGTATGTACAAGCCAGTTTTCTTGCTGGTAGGGCTGGGGCTACCTGCCTAGGAACCGCCGTATCCCATCAGGATGCAGTGGGTGTCCCAATCAGCGGATGCGGTTTTCGGTGTTGACTGTGACACAGTCCTATCAGTGTTTTGTGTGTGTGTGTGTGTGTGTGTGTGTGTGATTCCACTCAGTTCTGTTCTGCTAATGCAATGGAACCAGGAGGGTCAGGTTTGGAAATGAGCTCTCGGTGGGTAGGTATAAGGGAAGGCTCCCTGGGAACTCCCGGGGTACCTCAGTCAGGTACCTCAAGATCAGAGCTGCTCAATTCAGCATAGTGCCCCCGGGGTACTCCCAGCGTCCCCACCCATGGCTGTACAGGGAATGCTATACTGACCCCTCTGTGTTCTGTTAGATATCCTGGCTAACAGAGAGTTGGGGCTGATAGGAAAATCCAGTGAGGACAGGAGGACGTGGGTATCAGAGGGTAGACAAACATGTCAGAAGGAGATGAAAGAGAGATGGGCTGATGGGGCCGAGTGTGTCAACGGGCGCATACACTTCTTTATACCATACTCGTGTGTCTGCACCAACGCGATGCCTGCCCTCAGGTGTTCCAGTCTGTCCATGTGTAGATAGATGCACTTGGGTCCACACACACAGAAGGTCTTCAAGGATAAATAAGACAAGTATTTTACTGAGGTTAAACAGGATGGTTAAAGAGCTGACAGCTGTACTGGGCACACCCCTGGAACCGAATAGCTCCCTTGCAGCTGGAACTCCTGCACCCACATGAATGCTGGCATGCACTTCACATACAAAGGAACTTGTTAGTAGAGGTAGCAGCTCACGTAGGCCAGGCTATCTTTGAACCCAGCTAGACCTTTTATAGGAAGGTTTGTGTCTGGCTTGGCTCAGGGCGTTTTTCCTACTGTTACGTGTGCCTGTCAGGGCCCAGGAGGGAACAGTGTAACCTCACTTTTTCAGCTCATGAAGGTGAATTGGCACCAGCAAGGTCCCTGGGACATGCTGACGCACCAGGTCCACTTCAGGGCTAGATTGCTTGGAACAGAGCCGTCTGGAGCAGGGCCTCCCTGCCCGAGCTCCAAGTTCCCGCCTCTGTCTGCTTCCTCGATCTGGTCCCTCAGCCTCCTTGACAAGCCTTATATATGTGTGTGCTTGTTCCTGTTCCTCATGTTCCTCAGACTCATAAAGTCATAGTAATACTTGTGACTATGGTACCCAAACCACTTTGTGGCTACAGGATCCCATACAGACCCACCCTGAGGCTTCCCCCTCCCTGTACCTTCCAATGGCCTTTTTTTCCTTACCTGCTTCTTGCTATCCCTGTCCCCACTGTCAGGCAGTCAGGACCCAAGGTAACAGGCCATGGTATGCGGCCTTCTTTTTTGTGAATCTTGGCTTATGGCCAAAGCCGCAGTGTCAGGCTTGTGCACCTGTGAATGTCACTTGGCCTTGTCGTTTTAAATCAAGGATTTGTCGGTATGCCCTTGTGGAATGTGATCTTTATCTGGCTTTTCAGATTTTTTTTTTTTTTTGGATTTTCGAGACAGGGTTTCTCTGTGTAGTTCTGGCTGTCCTGGAACTCACTCTGTAGACCAGGCTGGCCTCAAACTCAGAAATCCACCTGCCTCTGCCTCCCAAGTGCTGGAATTAAAGGCGTATGCCACCACTGCCCAGCCGGGTCTTTAGATTTTTGACAGGTGTTGTAAGGAATTAGTACATGTTCACTGGGGTTGCCTGGAGTTTTGCTTAAGCCCGGGGCCAAGATTGGTGACCTTGTCCTTCTGTCTGTGCAGGGGAGCAAAGGAGACCTCGGGCCCATCGGTATGCCTGGAAAGTCTGGCTTGGCTGGACCTCCTGGACCAGTTGGACCCCCAGGACCTCCTGGGCCTCCAGGGCCACCAGGACCAGGATTTGCTGCTGGATTCGTGAGTCTGGGTTTCTGTTGGCTCTCTAGGCGGGGCCCAGCCCTTGTCACCATGTGGGTTTCTACTGTCCCTGTCTTTGGGCCCCCACTTCTGAACCCTGAATGCCTGGATGGGTTGGCCCAGTGCTGGGTTGGCCTCAGTATACTCAGATTGGGCACAGACTTTATGCCCAATGTCTGTGGCTGCTGTTCCTAGCCCCTCCATACCTCCATACTTAGCTGCTGAAAACCTGCTTATGTACCCAGTACACTTTTCTCTTGCACACACAAAAACCAGAGCCCCATGATTGAGTCAGATTCCTACCCACCAGGGTTCTATTACCATACATATAACCCAAGCTCTGTCAACCATCCCCAATACCCTAGCCCTGCACCTTCATCTCCACCATTCTGGCCTCGGGGAGGAAGGCTCCTTCTTAATAAAGGTCAGAGACTAAACATCCCTTTTTCGTTCCCTTCAGGATGACATGGAAGGTTCTGGAATACCCCTCTGGTCAACAGTCCGAAACTCCGATGGGCTACAGGTACTGCCCATGAGCCAGGGCTGGAGGAGGGTCCCAGGTCAGGGGTGTCCAGCCTCATGTAGGACAAGGAGTTCACAGCAGCTCAGGGATATGAGCTACAGTACCCTCCATCCCAGAAAGACCCAACTCCAAACTGTCCCCAGTAAGGGAGAGAGGGTGTCAAATAAATAGACCTTTCCCTATCTGATTCCCTCCATGCCTTCAGTTTTAGAAAGTGGCATATATTTCGCCAGAGTAACTGGAGTTAATGGGGCATGGGGTGGGGGTGGGGTGTGAGGGCTCCCATTTCTCTGTTAACCTGTGTATAGTTTGGATTAGGTTAGCAAAGAAAAGCTCAAGTCCCCAAGTGGTGGGCACATCAAAGCACTTGTGTGCAGGCATGCACATACATACTCAATGGCCCGGTCCAGGATACCACTCCTTCCTGAGGCTGCTGCCCTTCCCTGAGGAGCCACAGTATGCCTTGGCTTTGGAGGGCACCAGGCTGACCTCCAGTCTCCAGGGCCACTACTGTCGTGATAATAGTTTAAAGTAGTTATTGTTGCCGTTGCTACTCTTTGTAACTTTTTTTCCATATACACTTTTATGTAAAACAATTTCAAATGTGGACGGAGTCTTAAGAACAACATAAAGAATCCCCATGTATCTTTCAGTTGAATACTCTGTTAAAGTTCACGTGCCCCTGGAGACAGCTTTTACAACAGAAGGCTGGGCTGAGTGCTTTTGTATATCAAGCACCTCGTTTCCCCCTAGAGCTGTGAGGTTTAGAAAGGGTTAATCAACTAGTCACTAACATGTGTCTCCTGCACTCTGACAGGGACCTCCAGGGTTGCCAGGACTCAAGGTGAGTTGGGGAGGCCTTTCTTGGAGAACTGGCTAGCCGATTAATATTTTTGGACTTCAGCAAAACACAATCAACAGCTTGGTAGAAAAATAGCCACCTGTCCCCATCCCGTGCATTGAGTCATACCCTGTCTTTCCAAAAACCCCACGAATTGAGATTCCTGGCTTCATACATCTGAAGCATGATAGAATTTTGAAGAACCCAGGGATACACCCAACCCACATCCCCCCGCCATGTTCTCAGCTTCAGGGACAGTAGTGTCCTGAAGTCTGTCCTGGAGGATCTGGGAGTTTGGTTCTCAGTTTCCCATGTCATCCTTGGGGATAGCAGTCCACAGACTTGTCCCCATAGCCCATAGGCTTGAGTCAGACTCTCCAGGGCAGGGGTAAGGGTGGAGAACACCAGAATTATCCCTATCTGGGGGTCCCAACTGGTCTCTGCTGTTGCTTTGGACTCCTTCTAGAATGTTTTTCTGTGATTTACAAAACATGGGCTGGGCATTTCCAAAGGCTGGAATTTCAGATGGGCCTGGACTGGACTGGTTTTTTTAACATTAAGAAGTTACTTCAGAGGACTTGTTTCTAATAGTGGAAATGATAAAACCTGCCTCCTGCTTTTACAATATCTAGAAAACTATCCAACCCCCATGATGCTGGGATATATCTCGTACCTTTCACCAGTGTGGGCCTCCAGGTCCCAGCTTAGTCACCTAGGATTCTAGGATCCTTGGGAGGAGAGCCCCAAGTGCTAGGGCCGAGAATCCTGAGTGATAAGCGGAAGAGATTGTACCTTGGTTTGGGGTTGGGCCGGCTGACACCCCAAGTTTATGAAACCCTTTGTTCACTTAGGGGGATCCTGGAGTGACAGGGCTGCCTGGAGCTAAGGTAGGTACTTCACCCATGGTCAGGTACACTGTCCACTGGGCATAGAGAGGGGCCTGGAGAGACCAGAAATCATGCCCCACAGGCCAGGGTTAAGTCCTTGTTGTAGGGCACACCCACAGACCCCTGCACCAATTAGGGGAAAATGAGCTTCTTCCCCTCCCCCTTCCTAGTTACCATCCTTCCTTCACCCCATCTTCTGTCTTCAAGGGAAAGCTGTGTTATCCCTCCAGGGTGTGAACCAGTAGCCAGCAGAACCCTAGGTTATGGTGGTACCCATCCATGGTTGCTATAATCTCCTCTCTAGGAGTCTCTGCTGCCTGGCTGCAGGGCTGACTCTGGATTTTCTATTTGTCTGTCCCAGGGAGAAGTCGGAGCAGATGGAGCCCAGGGCATCCCTGGTCTTCCAGGAAGAGAGGGTGCAGCTGGGTCCCCGGTGAGTAAGGACGAGGGTACAGAAAAGAAGCCCTCAGGAAGAAAACTGGCATCGAAGGTGGCCTTTGAGTTATCATGGATCTGTGTCCTTGGCCTGCAACACTGTGCCTTGTGAATCCAAGTCTGGTCAGGGATTTGGGTGTCTCCAAGGCTCTAGGAAACACAGAGTCCCTGTCTACATTGGAAGCCAGGCTCAGGTAGGCTGGTCCTTGAAGGTTCTGTCTGGTCCTGTCTATAATGACTCATTTCCTATCTCTGCAGGGGCCCAAAGGAGAAAAAGGCATCCAGGGAGAAAAGGTAAGTGTCTTGATAGCATTGCTACACAGAGGACAAAGAGTTGAGCTGCCCAGGCCTCTGGGTGGGGGAACGCCATCATGCCACAGCCCCAGGCTCAAACCACCTGACTGCCCATGTGATATCAGAGTTGAGCAGAGATCCTTAAGTCAGCAGGGATAGCTCTCAGCTTCTCTACCAAGCTAATACCTGGACTAGGAGTAGACTCTGGGGTCCTGGCCAGTAACCAGAATGTTCATCTCTCTGCCATTCTCTTCCAGGGAAACCCAGGAAAAGATGGAGTGGGCCAGCCAGGCCTTCCTGGCCCTCCAGGACCTCCAGGGCCTGTAATCTATGTGTCAAATGAGGGTGTAAGTACCCTGGAGTGCTGTGGGGCTCATCCCTCAGTCTAGGTACTGCCCATAGATGTTCTAGGACATGAAGGGCCCTGGCTTCTCAGGAAAAGGCTGTGCTGGCTACAGGTTCTCTCCTTGCCAAAGCTTCTAGGCCTTCTTGGCTGTAAAGGCTACACCACTACCCTTTTGTGGTGGCTGAAGCAACATATTCAAAGGGCCTAGCCCCAGAGTAAATGGGTCCCTCACAGCCTCACCACAGAACCCAGGAGCCAATCTGCTGCCCTGGAATCTCCTCTGCAGCAAGAAGCCTGAGTCTCTAGGTAGGAGATGCAGGGCCCAGGGAAACTGAGAATACAGGGAAACAGGCTTCCCCGGGACAGTGCCAGAGCACGGTTGGGCTGCTAACTAGGCCCAAATCCCAGCTGTAGTTGTCACTTGTGACCCTGGTTACCTCACCTTCTGGAATCTCTGTTCCCTCAGTTCTGAGATAGCCACAATATAGTCCTGGGAGCAAAGCTGTGAGTGGTCACTAGAGGGCATGCCCCAGGCCCGGTGTTTCCAGGAGTGAGCCAGACACCAATGTAAGGTGGCACTGCAGTGATGGGGGAGGGGCAGGGGCAAGGTCAGGGGCTATGGGAGCAGGGCAGATCAAAAGCAGCAGCTCTTTATTCAGGGGACAGTGACAGGACAGTGAGGCATAGGAGAAGGCCTCCAGTAGGTGGCACTGCCTTCACAGGATGAACCAGAGCATATGTAGAAGGATCTGTATGTAACAGGACTGGAGAATGACCCCAAGCCGGGAAGGGGGACTCCTCACGAAATGAGTCAGCTGTCAGCTGGGTACCTGCAGAGAGAACCCGGGCATGCCGCTAAAAAATACAGTTTTCTTCTAAACTTCCACTTCGGGTTAGCTTTGCTGAGCTTGTGGCTAATGTGACCCCAGGTGACTTTCTACTCAAAGGCCGCTTTCTTTTCTTCCCCTCTCATATGTATTTCCTGGTGACATGGGGACAGAGGGCTGTCGTGAGCACGCCAGGACCTGAGGTAAGGGCCATCTTGCTTGTAAGAAAGTCCACAGAGGGTCGGGGTGGGGGGTAGGGTGGAGAGGGGCTGGGTAAGAACACCATGGAGAGCAGTGTGTCCCCAAAACTCATGGTGACCTTCTTCCCACAGGGCAAGCCAGGGTACGCAGGCTTCCCTGTAAGTAGCTTTGCTTCTGAGGTGCATGACTGTCCAGCCTGACACTGGGTGTGGGTGTGGTCTAGGCTCTTGGTGTACATAGGACAGCAGTGTAGACCTGGGTGGGGACAGTCACAAGGTCTGGAAGGTGTAGTGTGGTACCCTTCCTTGCCACCTGTAATTGATCAGGACTCTGAAGGTCTGGCACAATGACCAGGGAGCAAACACAGGACAAGGGCTATGGCAGTTATGGGGACTAAGGAACATTGGGTCACAGATCCTCATTCCAATCTGGTCATTACTACAGGGACCTGCTGGACCAAAGGGTGACCTTGGTTCCAAAGGCGAGCAGGGTCTTCCGGGGCCCAAGGTAAGGTCTGGGGTGCCTTCTGTTCATTTCTCGGGAACCGGGGTGCAGCCTTATTGCTGTACAGACCTGCTACAGGCAAGATATTCTATCTTGTCTACACAGATGACGGCTCTTGGGGCAGCCTGGGCCCTGTAGCTACTGAGATATCCCATCTCTGTTACTCTGTCTCAGAGGGCTCTGGTCATAAACTCCCCATAGTAGGCCAAGACTCTACTATGCTTCTGTGTTGGGGGTATCTGAAGGCCAGTGGGTGAGCCCTGACCTGTCCTTCCTGCCTTGCCATTCCAGGGTGAGAAGGGAGAGCCAGGCACTATCCTTAGCACTGATGGCAGAGCTCTGGGTCACGCCCAGAAGGGAGCCAAGGTGAGAATCAGGTTGGGGGTTCCCTAACACTGTGAAGACAGCACGAGGGTGTGTGGAGGGATGTTCCGATAGAGAGGCAAGATCATGTCACACTCAGACTTCTCCTGGACGGGGTTCCCAAGCTTTCCATAGCCTGAATCTGTCCTTCCTTTGCCCCTTGGAAACAGTTTGGGTAGGCTCTCACAGTTCCCAAACCTTCCAGTGACCTGCATTATCCCTTGGTACTGTTGGCTGAAGTCACCTATAGGGAGGTTAGTGATACTGACCACGGTCCAGTGTGCGCCATCTTCTTCCGCCATGGGCAGGCCTCCATCTCCCCTGGGTAATAGCTATTTAAACTTCCTCCTTCCTATGGACCTGAGTCTGCAGAAAATGGAGCACAAGACTGTACATCGCTGGCCAGGACTTGTTCCTCATATTAGATTTGGGGTTCCCACCCCTGCAGGCCTTCCCAGAAGGCACTGGGGGAAGGGCCTTGGACAGCCTTGGTGCCTCTGAGGAATAGATTCTCACTGGCCTACAGTGTTGTTAGAAGGTGATCTAACGATACTCAATGCCCCAGGCCCAGAGAGCCCTCTGCTCTCAGAGGCTCTAGAGCTGAATATAACCTGGGTGACCTTAGCTATATGCTTTGTAAGGTTGAACCGACCCTTAGGGACTCAGGGAGCATCCATCTATGCCTTAAACTGGACCTAGTCCCTAATGCTAGTGTCTTTCCCGTCCCACTGGTGTGGTTATCAGCCTCGGTTGCCAGCCTAACACATCCACATGGGTACAGCAAGGACTCCGGGAGGCAGCGGGCTAGCTTAGCCATAGCTGCCTAACGTACCTCTGATTCTCTGTTCAGGGAGAACCAGGCTTTCGAGGACCCCCGGTGAGTAGTGCCCTTCTTGTTACACCGAGTTCAGGGACCAGGGTTTGTATCAACTACAGCATTGAAAACCATGGGGTGGGTTGTACCCGATGGCAACAGGCAGTTTCTAAGAGATGGCAGTCCTGGTCCTTTCCTGGGATGGCTCCTCCCTCCTCACTAAGAGGCTCCACCCACCCCTCCTCAGCTCATTGGTTTTTGTTTTTGTTTTTCTCTGCAGGGTCCTTATGGACGGCCTGGGTACAAGGGTGAAATTGGCTTCCCTGGACGGCCGGTGAGGATTTGGTGGCCTTACAAGTGGGACCTAGTGGGTGGAGAGCATCTGGGGCTACAGAAGGCTGGGCCTTGGAGAAAATGGACAGCTGTCCCTCCTGTCCATCCCCCAGATACAGCTATCATACCTATGTGGCCAGTGACACCTGATAGGAGGCCCTGAGCAAAGAGGGGGCTCTGACCTGGGTCCTTCTAGTCAGTGGCCTGCCTCTCCTAGCTTCTGGAGCAAGAGTTAGATTGGGGTTGAACTGGAAAGGCTTGACCGTGGCAAGCACGGGGCTGTGTACAGGTCGTCCAGTGTCCAAGAAGCCCTGCTACTCTATCCTGCCCAGGGTCGTCCCGGAACGAATGGCTTAAAGGGAGAGAAAGGGGAGCCTGGAGATGCCAGCCTTGGGTTCAGCATGAGGGTAAGTGGTCTGTAATAGTGAATGGGTGGTGGCTTAGAACACCAGGGACCAAGCATGGCTACCAGGGCCCCTCAGTTCATTTACTGAGCTGTTTCAGGTATCTGGTGATACAATCAGACGGGCACACTTGCATAGATACTATTTGGGCACACTCAAAACTACATGTGCACAAACATATCTGCATATTCCTATACCAGAAGAGAGAACCACGGGATGGGACCATAGGACATCCCTTCTCTGGATCCATCAACATAGCTTTATGTCTTTTAAAAGTCTGCTGCCTTAGGGACTTAAGGATTTTTCGTTTGATGGTGTCTCTTGCCTTTCTACTGGACGCAGCCACCCAGAGACTCAGGGACTTCCCCAAAGTGATTGTGTCTGGCCTGTGGCTCCTGTCTTCTACCTGCTTGGTCCAGAGCAGAGATGGGCATGGAAACCCAGATATAAGTACTTCAGAGAGTCCGCACTCCTGATTGCTCCATTGCTGCTGTGGGTTTCCTTGTCAGCTGTCTTCTCTGTGGACTAATGTCTACCAACACCATGCAAAAATCAAGAGCAAACTGCAGAATTTTCAGAGCTGCAGGACCCGCAGAGTCACAGACCGGTCACGTCCATTCCAATGCAAAAGAATGCCCCTTGGATTTTATCCTCAGTTATGATTTTTTTAAAGATTCATTTATTTCATGTATGTGAGTACACTGTCACTGTCTTCAGACACACCAGAAGTGGGTGTCAGATCTTATTACAGATGGTTGTGAGCCACCATGTGGTTGCTGGGAATTGAACTCAGGACCTCTGGACGAGCAGACGTGCTCTTAACCACTGAGCCATCTCTCCAGCCTATCAGTTATGATTTTTAAAATCAGGTTGAATACTGGTCCTTTTGAGGAGTGTATCCCTCAGTCTGAGGTACTGGCAAGTACACAGATGTTCACAGCTGTCCTGGGGAAGGCAGACAATGCAAGGTGCCCTCCTGGGATGAAGAAGCCCTGGTCATGCCTGTCCCTTACCTGGGTCCTCGGGGCTTCCACGGTAGCATGTGACTGTTGGAGTTTAGACTAGGTTGTTGCTTACTTTAAATAAGTAAAAATAAAATTTCATTTATTCAAGCCAAAGCCTTCTTGAGCAACCCAGCTCTGAGTTTGCAGCTAGCAGTCTCTGCTAGAAGGACTACTTAGACTTTGGTTATCCACAGCTCATGGGACCCTGTGTGGCTCAAGAGCTCCCTGGGTGCGAAACAGTCAGGCCGAGTTGGCAGGCACATGGACCAGAGTCAGAAATGCGTTTTTACATCATCAAACGCATTTAGCTTTCTGATTCAACTGCTTCTCAGCCCATGTCTGCTCCCCTAGTCTACTGATGGCTTAGCTCTGACCTTGACTAACCAGAGCTTTCTGTCCCTCCACAGGGACTGCCTGGCCCCCCTGGGCCTCCCGGCCCCCCAGGTCCTCCAGGGATGCCCATCTATGACAGCAATGTAAGTGGCCAGAGACTCATTCTTTACAGGCCTCTCTCGCCAGTCGCTGGCCTTGGAATCGTCTCTGGGATGGGTCTGTTGGGTAGGCTGTACCTGGGGCCAGTGGATGAGCAGTTAGGGGATCAATCTTAACTCTGGGGCTTGGAGACAGTCTCAAGCTGGAAGGACCCAGGTCCCTGATTCAGGTGCTGGGGGTGTTCCAGTTTTACTAAACTTAGCAAGGGAAGAGGTGACCTGTGAGAGTAGGTCATTACTTCAGACCTTACTTCAGAGCTCCTGTGGAAAGAATGCTGATTTGTCTCTGGGGAGGAGCCTTGGGACTTCTTGCCTAGGGGACTTGGGTAGTCTTGTTTTCTGGAGCGCTGACCCTCAGTACACATCCTCTCTTCCCCCTCAACCCACTTGGTCTTTGTAGGCATTTGTGGAGTCTGGTCGACCTGGACAACCAGGACAGCAAGGTGAGAGCTTTGGGGCACACAGTGCCTTTGGTGGTTTAGGGCTCTGGTAAGAAACAGCAGCAGGATAGTAACATCAAACTGATTAGGAAAAAGGAAACTGTGGGACTTGACTCTGCTAGCTCTGAGCATCTTCTCCCTGAGTCCCTCTTAGCTAAGCTGTGCCTACAACCATACCCTACTTCTAACAGCGCACACATCTGGCGTGACTGTCTAGGGAGTCTAACTTTGGGGCACTAATGCTGGGGGCGACCACCCAAGATTTCTCAGAATGGGTACAAGAACAGTCTCACTCATCAGTCAGGGGATGGTGCAGTGGCTTCCCCTCCCCCAAACACACAGCTTTGTTCCCCTCCACCTCACACACAACATGGCTTCTCATGAGTTCTAACTCTGACTGTGTTCCCCCACCCCCATCTACTCACAGCCTTTCTGGTTGAGGCCCGCCACATGCACACAATAGCCAGGGCTGGGGACATTGGTGGGAGGGGCTTTCCTTGATAGCTTTGGGGTTTCTTCCTCCAGGTGTTCAGGGGCCTTCAGGACCAAAGGGTGACAAAGGAGATGTGGGCCCACCTGGGCCACCAGGTAAGCATGTTCCGCACCGTCCAGGCTGAGGGTTGTTGGGTGTGGCTAGCTTGGTACTTGGGAACCAGAGCCCTTGGGGTACTAGACACCCACTATATCATGGTTGCTGTCCGTCCAACCCTCTGGAGGGACAAAGCACTCTCTCAGCTCCCCAAGTCTTGATTAGAGCTGAATTTAGGAACCCCAGGTAGCCTTTCAGCTTGGGGCTAGGACCTGGGCGTGGGGGTGCAGGGGAGAATAGCTCAGTGGGATGTTCCTGTGACCCTGCTCTCCGATAGATACAAGCAGGGCTGTTTTTCCCAGTGAGCAGTGAGTGTTCCCTCCCAGCACCCATGTTGGTCCGACCAACCTCCACCAGGATGATCTAGGAAAGCAGGGTAAGAGTTAAGAAGCCTCAGCTGGGCAGTGGTGGCACACACCTTTAATCTCAGCACTCAGGAGGCAGAGGCAGGAGGATCTCTGAGTTCAAGGCCAGCCTAGTCTACAGAGGGTGTTCCAGGACAGCCAAAGCTACACAGAGATACTATGTCTTGAAACGCCAAACCAAACCAAACCAAGCAAACAAACAAAAGCTGAGGTCACTCCCCGTAGCCCACAAAACCATGCTTGTGCTAGTGGGATCTGGCCAAAGCAAACTGGCACAAGTTCTGCCCGCTAACGGCACTCACAGTATGTGACATTAGAAGGAAGACATAGACATTTGAACAAAGAATCAAGGGGTGGGGGGAAAGGAGGAACAGGTACCAAGGCCTCCTGGGAAGTAGTTACCAGGCTGGGATTAAGACTTAGAGAGTACAATGTCCCAGACCTAAATGGGTTGTCTGGGTAAATCTTGGGATGTGAAAGTTCAGAGTACTAGGGGACATGTCCCCTCGAGATACCTGGGTAAGCTGTGAGGGACCAGAGCTAGCCAGTGGAAAACCAGAAAGAGTAGAAGCTCCCCAGGGAAGGATACAGCAATAGCCTGGCACACTTGTCACTAGAGAGTCTAAGAGAAAACAGCAGTCAGGGCAAAACAGCTCAGTTTCCAAAGCTAGGAAAAGATTTGCAGTACTTCCCACAGTCAAAAGATGCCCAAGGAAACTGGAGGAAGTGGTGAGAAAACCAGAAAAGCCAGAAAACCCTGAGTGCTTCAGAACATCGGGGGGCGGGGGGCTCTGATGTTCCACATCAGAATTCACACAGATTCCACCGTATGACTCTCAAAGAGAGTAGCGTGCGCATCAAGCAGCCTGGTGCACAGTGCAAGCCTCCAGGGAGAGACAAGCAGTCCCAGAAAGGGTTGGGAGGTGGGAAACAGCTGACCGACCCAGCAGGAAGAATCCAGGCTGCACAGTCATAAGGCCAGACTCTCTGGAGCATCTCTCTGATGTTTAGCTAAGGTCAAGGGTGCGGATGAACTTGCCAAAACCAAGAATGTGCAGCTGGATGCTTGACGAAAGATAAATAACAAGAATACAGAAGAAAGCTGGATGTACATCAAGATGAGGGAGAAGAAACACAGAGCAGGGACAACAGAGGAAATAGAACACAGGATAGATTTAAACTCAGGTTTTCAGTGGCCGAGCATGAGTGCCTCTGTTGGCTGCCAGGATGGGAGTGGACTGGCTGCCCAGAAAGACAAAAGGAGACCCCTCCCTTAGGACGGGCAAGCTAGAGGGTGATGATAGAGGGAACTGTCCCTGGAGAAGGGAGCTGTTGATGGCCACCTAGGTGTACCACAGACAATTTGCATCTGTCACCAAGTGCATCTTGGGAAATATGGCTGGGACTAGAAAAGGGTCATCTTGATCAAACTCAATCTGAAAGGACAATCCGGGAACTGAACTCACTTGCCTACAGTAGCAGAGACTCAGGATACAGAGGAAAATAGACAGGGGAAAAAAAAATGCCATTGTCTTAGTTAGAGTTTTACTGCTGTGAACAGACACCATGATCAAGGCAACTCTTATAAGGACAGCATTTAATTGGGGCTGGCTTACAGGTTCAGAGGTTCAGTCCATTATCAAGGTGAGAGCATGGCAGCATCCAGGCAGGTATGGTGCAGGAGGAGCTGGGAGTTCTACACCTTCATCTGAAGGCTGCTAGCAGAATATAGCAGGCAGCTAGGCTGACGGTCTTAAAGCCCACACCCACAGTGACACACCCACTCCAACAAGTATAACATCTCCTAATAATGCCACTCCCTGGACCAAGCATATACAAACCATCACAGCCATTATCTGAGAAATTGAACCTGGAGACAGAAGGGTTCAGCAGCCACCAATGCTTGTCGGCATTATCTCTGGCCACAGGCCAACCACAGGGAGCAGTCCCTGCAGGCAGAAACGGGTTCCGCAGGCTTATCAGGAGGCAGTCTTGTGAATGTAGAGGAAGTTCCCCATGGTGAGGGAGCATCTGCCTTGGAGGACTGGTCCAGGCAGCTTGTAAGTCAAAGGAGAGACAGAAAGACCCTAAGGCAGCCTGGGATGGGGGATGCTGGTGAAGTAGGTCTTAGAAGCCTGAAGGCCTGGGTCCTCTAAGCTCCCACTGGGCTGGGTCAGTGTGACGCCTCACTCATAGGTCACAGGGTCCCATAGACCATGACCTAGCTCTACAGAAGTCCTAGCATAGGGGCTGGAGCTTAGGTCCTGCTAGTGACAGCTGTCACCTCCGATCCCAGGTGACACACCTGTAAAATGGATGGGCCATGGGGGTTATAAATCGTGGCTCGGGACCACATTATAGAACAGCAAGAGCCCTCTGAGACAGTAATTCCACAAGGCAAAGAGTCCAAAGAGGGCAGCAACAGGCAAAAGTGGCCCGAGGTTGCTATCCCTGAAAGAATGTAGTCACAGAACTACAGGCCTTAAATAGAATGTTTCAGTGCCTCTGCCCAAGGTACTAGAAACAAAACATCACATTTGATGGGAACAAGGAGTTATTCTAGAGACAGAAATAAATAAAGTTATGTTTTATTTATGTATGAAGTTCCCAAGATCAAAAAAGATCAAGTCTCTGAAGAAGCAAAAAAAAAAAAAAAAAAAGAAAAAAACCATCTCCCTATCTCTGTAGACAAGAGTCAACAAACAGGAAATAGCTCAGAGGAAGAGCCCTGGGCCCTGCTGAGACCCTACGCCTAAGGGGACAGGACCAGGCTTCTTGAAGCAAGGGCCCTAGGGGGAGAAGCCAGTTTACACAGCAGGTCTTTAATGCACACCCCCCATGAGGATCTGTGGGTGACTGTCAGAATGAGAGAGTGCATCTCTCCAGGCCCCTAGAGGATGGAGAGTGACCAGAAAAGCCAATGGCCAGTCATCAACATTATTTACAAGTACAACTCTGAAAAAAAATTAAACACCGTGACCAAAAACATTATAAAAAAAAATCCATTAACCAGGAGTAAATTTAAGAAAATGTGCCGTCCTTATATAAACCAAGGGAGGCAGGCGGGGTGGGGGAGGGGAGTACAAACTGTATAGTCAGTACCATCTCAGTACGATCCTAACCTACCTTCCCCACCCTGCAGGGCAGTTCCCCATAGACTTCTTCCAACTGGAAGCTGAAATGAAGGTAGGAGAGGTTGTTGGTCAAGTTGGGGGGACTGTGGATGTCTTCGTTGGGTGGCTGGTGTCCAGGCGGGTGCCTTTGTCCCTGCTGACACTGTCTAATGACACTGAGCCATCATGGGGTTAGTGCCAACCTGTAATCCTCATCTGTTTCTGATAACCATTTTAGGGGGACAAAGGAGACCGAGGGGATGCTGGACAGAAAGGAGAGAGGGGAGAACCTGGGGCTCCTGGTGGTGGATTCTTCAGCTCAAGTGTACCTGGCCCACCCGGCCCCCCTGGATACCCTGGAATTCCGGTAAGCCTGAGTCCCCCACCCTTAACCCCAAGGCCTCCTGTAGGTGTCCACTCATACACCGTGGGCTTGGGCACAGTCAAGGGACACATCATGCTTGGTTGTATACCTTGAAAGACTCATATCAAACCCTGCAAGCTCAGCTGCCCGAGACCCCACATTATTAGCTCTCTGAGCCTCTGTGAGTATGAGCTGGCAGGCGAGCCTTATTTTGGTATCTTATGGTTGTTCTTTTGCTGCCATCCCTTAGCTTTGAGCAGCACTGAGCAGACCCTAGGGGTGGGGCATCACACGGGCCTAGCTTCTGACTGGAACACTGGGAAGCTTTGGGGACAAAGCTGTCCCTTTGTCCTAGGACCATATCTCCAGCAAAAAGGGGCCCTGTGGTAGGCAGGGCTTGTATAGGTCTCAAAGGCTCCTTCCAGGTCTGAGGCTATAAGCAAATACAGTCCCAGCCTAGGGCATGCAGGGTACAAATGAAGGGCTTCTTTGTTGTTCCTAGGGTCCAAAGGGAGAGAGCATTCGGGGTCCACCTGGCCCTCCTGGCCCACAGGGACCTCCTGGCATTGGCTATGAGGGGCGCCAGGGTCCCCCAGGACCTCCGGGACCTCCAGGACCTCCCTCTTTCCCTGGCCCTCACAGACAGAGTAAGAATGTGGAGAGTGGGTCCGGGTCCCTGAGGGCTGGCTGCCCATGTGATCAGGAGTTCCCAGCTTGATTTCTCTTGTAGCTGTCAGTGTTCCTGGTCCTCCAGGCCCACCTGGCCCCCCGGGTCCCCCAGGAGCCATGGGTGCCTCTGCTGGGGTAAGTGTCCAATTAGTCAAGGTCTGACAATCTGGAGTAGGGGTGGGGAGGCTGATAACATGTCAGGAAGTCTTCACCATCAGTCCACTGGCTGCAGAGATGGGTGTCTGTGGGATCATGGGGTCCCCAAGGTGCTTACTCCTATAACTTTTACTCCTCTTACTTGGGGACAGCCTGACAAAGAAGGATACCTACCTACCCAGAGCCACTTTCTGGCCTCTGAAGTCCTGGGAGCTCTGGTTGCTCTGGGCAGTGGGTCTCATACTGAACTTGGGTTGGGGTTCTAGCAGGTGAGAATCTGGGCCACATACCAGACCATGCTGGACAAGATCCGTGAGGTGCCGGAGGGCTGGCTCATCTTTGTAGCCGAGAGGGAAGAGCTCTACGTACGGGTTAGAAACGGCTTCCGGAAGGTGCTGGTGAGTTCTCAGGGGACCCTCCTCCTTCGAATATCCACAACAGGGCAGAAGGATTTCTTTAAATCTTTTAAAGAATAAAAACTTTTAAGACGATTAAGCGGGTTCCTCTGCACGTTTAGGGTCAGCAGTAAATGAACGTTTTATCACTTTTTTGATTGTTACTGAGACCAAAGACTCAACATGAGGCGCAGGAGGCACCTTAAGGGAGGACTGGTTGACTGTGGGCTCGTGGTTTGAGATGCCGTCCATTGCAGTGTGGAAGGCATAGTGGCAGAAATGTCAGGCAGCTGGTGATGTTGCCTCTGCTGTCATGAAGCAGAATGGCCCCAGAGTTCAAACATTTAGCCCTGGGGGGCGGGGGAGAGGTCAGATTCCACTTACAGCAACATAGCATGAAGTAGGGTCCTAACGCAAGCCCCCAGGTGGCTCATGGCCGATGACCTTGAGCTATCCTATAGGGGATACAATGAGATGAAATATTAGGGCTCGTCTTGGTGTCTTCTCGGCCTCAAGATGCATGTGGGCTGCCTATGCTTTGTATCCCGGTGCTACGCTATATAAATACCATGGTGGAGATGGCCAGGTGGCTCAGTGGGTACAGACATGTACCACACAAACTTGTGAACGTGAGTTTGATTTCCAGAACTCACAAAATGTGGAAGGAGAGAACCAGCTCTGCCAAGTTGTCTTCCAGCCTCCACACGTACACCATAGCATGTACACATGTATATTATGTATGCATACATACATACATACACATATACATACACATATATATACACACATACATATACACACACAATAATAATAACTACCACTATGATAAGTATCCTCTTAGTACTGGTGGGATATCTCAAGATGAGTGAGCTGCTGGGTACCAGCTTTTGGGTTCTTGGTCTATGGGCCTGGCAGTCCTGTCCTGCAGTTCCTTCCTGATTAACTAGCCCTTCTATCTGGCCTAGAAGAGTCTATGCTATCAACTCTAGGTCTAGCCAGTGCCCACTGTTCACTTGAAGCCAAAGAGTGGGGCATAGTCACAACCCTATTTGGACAGGCTTCTTCCAGATGAAGGGCTGTGGGAAGAGGGTGACAGAGGAGAGCCCCTGGCCCTGAAGCATGTTGGAGTAACCTCTGCTGTTGCCTTTCAGCTGGAGGCCCGGACAGCCCTCCCGCATGGGACGGTAAGGAGTGTTTTCCCTCTGTTTCGGTGTTAGAAGGTAGCACAGGAAGGCCAGAACTTGTGTCCGTGCCTTTGTTACTTAAAGTCCAGGAAGCAACTGTGGGTGGCTGGAGGTTGAAGATGGGTCTCTGTAGTGCAGAGCTACTGTAGCTCTGATTTCCAATTTGGAACGAGTGGATTTAGGAAGTACACAGCAAGCCAAAGTAAAAGAATAATGAGCAGACACTGATGACTGAGGAGCAGGCCCCTTTAAGGCAGCCGGCTGGAGTTCCCAGGAGAGTCATGGGCAGAGGCCCTTGGGTGAAGCCTCCAAGTAAAAAACCAAATGAACAGCAACAAATAGAAATGCCATCACTAAATTAGGCACTCAGAACTTCCAGCAGAAACTGACTGGGGAAGTCAGGGCACTAGCGGGACTTCCCAGTTGAGCTTTCTCCCCCAGGCTGAGCTTCTCACAGCTGACCCTCTAGCCCTCCCACCCCCTACTGTAGGCTCATTTATTGTCATGTGATAAACAACTGTCACCTTGGTTGGAAACGGTTGACCTCTAGCTGTGCTCAAGGGCACTGTGGTTTGCTCTTGGCCTGTTTTGCTGTTCTCTTCCCTCCACAGCACAGTGGAGACCAGAGACCAGACAAGGGACATCTGTCTTAGGATTTTTCTGCTGTCAATAGACACTATGACCAAGCCATTTCTTCTTCTTCTTCTTTTTTTTTTTTTTCTTTTCTTTTCCCCGAGACAGGGTTTCTCTGTGTAGTCCTGGCTGTCCTGGAACTCACTCTGGCCTCAAACTCAGAAATCCACCTGCCTCTGCCTCCCAAGTGCTGGGATTAAAGGGTGCACCACTGCCCAGCTTTTTTTTTTTTTTTTTTTTTTAAAAAGATGTATTTATTTATTTTATGTATCTGAGTACACTGTCGCTGTCTTCAGGCACACCAGAAGAGGGCATCTGATTCCATTACAGATGGTTGTGAGCCATTGTGTGGTTGCTGGGAATTGAACTCAGGACCTCTAGAAGAGCAATCAGTGTTCTTAACCGCTGAGCCATCTCTCTAGCCCCAAGCCATTTCTTATAAAGGACAACATTTAACTGGGGCTGGCTTATAGGTTCAGAGGTTCAGTCCATCATCATCAAGGTGGGGGAGCATGGCAGCATCCAGGCAGACATGGTGCAGGAGGAGCTGAGAGTTCTACATCTTGATCCAAAGGCAGCTAGGATAAGGGTCTTAAAGCCCATGCTCACAGTGACACACCTACTCCAATAATGCCATTCTCTGGGCCAAGCATATAAAAACCATCACAGACCTTGGAGGGTACTTTAGGACAAATCTGCTTGGGTGTGAAATAGGGGGTAAAGGACAACTCCAGAGCCAGCCTCTCAGTGAGCTCAAACGACATGTGACAGCTGACTAATGCAGTGTTTGGCCTTAGCTTGACCAGCACCCAGGAACCCTGAGGAGACTGTGGTGAGACAAAACTGTCTTCCAGGCTCCTACCTGGCTCAAGCCTGTACCCCAGAGCTCAGGGTACAGCTCCCTTCTTCCCACCTCAGGCCCGGCCCAGTCCTGCCTAAGAGCACAGAACAGACAGAGGAAGGGGATCCCAGGTGAGGAGCTACTCCAAACATTGTGTCTGTCCATCCTTAGGGCAACGAGGTAGCGGCTTTGCAACCCCCATTGGTACAACTCCATGAGGGCAGTCCATACACCCGGAGGGAGCACTCCTACTCCACGGCACGACCCTGGCGAGCAGATGACATCTTGGCCAACCCACCACGTCTGTCAGACCACCAGCCTTACCCTGGTGTTCCACACCACCACAATTCTTATGTGCACCTGCCGCCAGCCCGCCCCACGTCCTCACCCGCCCACACTCACCAGGACTTTCAGCCGGTGGTAAGCATAAGGTTGAGGGTTGTGTGTCCATCCAGCCCCGGTCCTAGTAGGATAGAGGGAATCGCCCCAGAGCTGCTAGGGGGAGTATTTTGAATAGCTATCTATGGGTAGGTTTCTGACTGATAAAGGCGGCTCATCATTTAGGCCTTTTCTCTGGTGGCTTAGTGGTTAGCAATGAAATCAAGCACTTAGGAGCCAGTCTCTGCTAGTCTTTAATATGGCAGGCAAGAGGGCAGTGGGCTATGTACTTGCTGTGCCTCTGTCCTACAGAGGGTGGGCCAGCCAGGGATAGACAGCTGCTCGATAGCTAGGGTAGAACAGGCTGAGCTGGTCCCTATAACTGAGATATTTAGAAAATGGTACTCAGTCCGGCTTGTTCCCAGGCAGCCCCCATGTTTCCGCTGCCCCAGCTCTGGACCGAGGCTCTGGCTATCTAGAAACACTGCCCCTGGCACCCACGAGATGCCAGTGTGGTGGCTGGCTCTGCCAATCTGCCACGCTGTCCACAATGGCCGGCTGAGTCCAGACCATTCCCGCTATGCCCGCGGTACCCGGTAGAAATGAGACTCTTAAAGCTCAATGGTTATCTAAAGGATTTATAATATTTAGAAATGCTCAATTAACAAGATGCCCTCACAATTAGAGTTGTTACCCAATAGCTAACCCTTGCTACCCAGGACAGCTTTCGACCCATCTGTGGTTCTCCATGGCTGTTCCCTCTCTCCCTTTTCTCTCCTCCCCCTCCTCTCCTTCTCTCCTCCCAACTCCTTACTCCGCCTGTCTTTCATACTGTTCAATCACCGAGCTTTATTGCAAATGTAGTGGGGAAAATATCCCACTACAGGTCCCTGTCTCTGCTCACAGGAAAAGGGGTACCAGGGGCTATCTTGGGGGTCTGCTGGGACCACAGTGCTTGAGACTTGCCTCTGATGCTCTAGGCTGAGAGAGGCCAGGAGACGGTTGCTTGCAGGTTGTCACTGAAGTGACTGGTTTCATCCCTCCACGGGCTCTGCCTGCGTGCACTGTGCTGTGGGTATACAGCCCACAGACTAGAAGGTTACGAGTGACACTGCTTAAGATGTGACCCATACATGACCTCTCCGGCAGCTCCACCTGGTGGCACTGAACACCCCACTGTCTGGAGGCATGCGTGGTATCCGTGGGGCAGATTTCCAGTGTTTCCAGCAAGCCCGAGCCGTGGGGCTGTCTGGCACCTTCCGGGCCTTCCTGTCCTCTCGGCTGCAGGACCTCTACAGCATCGTGCGCCGTGCTGACCGAGGGTCTGTGCCCATCGTCAACCTGAAGGTAGGTGGAACCTGTCCTGAGGGTTCTGGAAGGCCAAGAGTCTGTCTCCATTTGTACCCAGGGCTTGGTCTCGGGGTGAATTCACAGAAGGGCTTACCATTCCCAGTATTCCCCACAAAGCCCCTCGGATCCCTGCTCTATCCAGGGCCCTGGCTCCTCTCTCTATGGGCATTTCTGTACTGCTGACCACATAGCCAAAAGTGACATGGAGTCATTTCTATGTGCCACTTAGCCTGGCCCCTCTGCCACGGGACCCATCATGTGACTTCATTCTTGGGTCTTTCCTATAAAGAGAGCTGGGATTCTCAGGGCCCATGGTGTGGACTTACAGATCCCACAGTCTCAGGCTTGGGAGGGTACCTGTGAGTTTCACTGTGATAGGCCCTGCCTTGGAGAAGGGGCTCTCTATGCCTCAGCCCCATGTGTCCCTTGGTCTCTTGTCATCTCCCTGATGGTCACTGACATGAGTGATGGGTGACTGAAGTCCCTGCTGTGTCTTCTGTAGGACGAGGTGCTATCTCCCAGCTGGGACACCCTGTTTTCCGGCTCCCAGGGTCAACTCCAACCTGGGGCCCGCATCTTTTCTTTCGATGGCCGAGATGTCCTGAGACACCCAGCCTGGTAGGTTTCCCCAGCATTAGGAGATATGACCAAGACCTGAATCTCTAGACTGACACAGTCTATACATAAAATCATAGAACCTAGCACACAGGAATGGTTATGTTTAACCAGCGAGGTGGTGGGCACCCTCAAAGCCATAGCAGATTACGTCATCACCTGTGACTGCTTAGCTATACTGCTCAGCTGTCTAAATGCCACCGAAAAGTGCCGATTCTGTAAGGCAGCTCCCCAGCATAGCCCTTGGTCGCAGAAGGCACCTGAACTGTTGACCAACAGCTGGACTGTCCTCAGAATGGTGTCATGCCCCGTGTCTCTACACCTGGCAGCCGACACACCTACTTTAATGACCCTGCTCTCTGAAGGGTGACTTGGGGAACTAGACAAATGTGTCTAGCGCAGTACCATCTGCTTTCCCCAAGAGGCACCCACGAGGGCCCTCCTGGCCCCTACATGGGCTGAATGAGAGCTCACTCTTCGCGTGTATCAAACAAGTCTTCCAGAAAGCCAATTCTGTCTAATCAGTGGAGAAGAGGCCAGCCCAGAGGTCCTCTGGCCCAGGCTGCACCACCAACACCCGCTTCCTCTGCAGAGCTACACGTCTGAGAGGTGGACCTAAGTCCTATAGGTCACAGGGGCCTTTTACTGTCCCATTGCCCTGCTGTCCCCAAAGATAGTGGCTGGCCTCCATCTTCTCAGCCTTCGTGCTCTCCAGGTAGCTGACAGTCTGTATACCTTGCAGGCCGCAGAAGAGCGTATGGCACGGCTCAGACCCCAGTGGGCGCAGGCTGATGGAGAGTTACTGTGAGACGTGGAGGACTGAAACTACCGGGGCTACAGGTCAGGCCTCCTCCCTGCTGTCAGGCAGGCTCCTGGAACAGAAAGCCGCGAGCTGCCACAACAGCTACATCGTCCTGTGCATTGAGAATAGCTTCATGACCTCTTTCTCCAAATAGGGCCTCTGCCAGCTAGGATGGCGGACAGAGGCGATGCAGGACTTTGACACAGTGCAGGGAGCCTCCAGCCAGCACTCAGGGCCTGGCTGGGATTCGATCCTGTCTAGTTCCCATTTTATGTAACCCTCAAGAAATAAAAGGAAGCCAAAGAATATATTTTTTTAAACATTTAAAACAGACTTCCTGCCCTTCCTCTCCCACTTGAACTGGCCAGCCTGTGTCACAGTCCCCTCTTCTTCCACGCTTGGTAGAGCTTCCTGGTGAAGTTGGACCATAGTTGGGTCTCAGCAGGAGGCTGACGACCTAGAGTTGCCACCTCAGAGCTGCAGGCTTTCTCTAGCCTGGCATCTTTCTGAGCTGACCGTTCACAGAGCAGTCACGATGCCCGTGCTGAGGACAGCACAGGGCAGTACAGGCTCCCCTCTCTCACTGCCCAGTGGCTATGCCAGTTGTACAGATGGGCACTTGCTCATCGAGGTGGTAACTGGGTCTACTCATGCTTGAGCAGTGGGAGCCAGCTCTCCTGACTCCCCCACATGTCCTGCCAGGGCAGGTTCCCAAGTTCAATACTCACTGTCCCCCCCCCCCCCCCCGGTCCGCCCCCCCCCCCCCCCCCGTTCCCTGTCACCAGGCCAGGAATGTGGCCAGACTTAGCCCGTGTGCTCATTTTTCCGAGGGCCTGACATGACATGGGGCCCATCCTCAGGTCTGTCTCTCAGACTGGCCTCTCTGGTGATCCCTGAGATCCCGTCCAGAGCGGGACCCAACCCCAACCAAGCCCAAGTGCCAGGGTAAGGCAGCACCTCGCTCAACAGCTTGAAGTCCACAGATCTCATCACAGTCGCTGCACAAAGCACTTGTCCTATGGAGGGACTTGTGTGCTCAGGGTCACAAGTGGCCAATCAAAGCCACTGTGCCTGCCTAAGGCTCTGCTGTCCAAGGATTGGGACAATCCAGTGGGGCTGGTTCTGTGACAATGTGTGATATGAAGCCATTTCAAAGAGGCAGCAAATAAAGATGACCTTTTATACAGACACTTGGTTTATAAGCTGCCTTCCCTGTTGCAAAAAGGATGAATCATTCTTGAGGAGACCTGGGAGCCTCCGTTCCTGCGCTCGCTAACTGAAGTCCTACTAAGGGAGCAGAGGTAAGCACGGATATAGTTGTATATACATGGATACGGGTCTGTATGTACACACATGAACCAGGCAAACACGTGTGTATGAGCACACTGGTGTACACGGTCAGGTGTGTAGATCCACAGGTTTGGCTGGGTATAAAGACTGCACAGTTGTATACATGGACAGGACCATTCATGTGTATGTGCACAAGTGTGCACAGGCATACAGTGGCATGCCTGAACGTGTGGTATGGAGAAGCGTGCACAGGTATGCAAAGGGATACGCAGGCGTGTTTATATACAAAGGTGTGCAGGCATACATGTGCACAGAATGTACTGTACACACATGTTCAGATGCTAACAGTACCCTCCACCTGGTATCCAGCAGTGCACACATTGTGACTTCAGTTCCCAGTGCCAGCTTGGCAACTTACAACCATTCCTAACCTTGGTTTCACGGGCTCTGACACCCTCTTTCGGCTCCCACAGTCACTAGGCACACACGTGATGCATACACACATGTGCAAGCAAGCACTCACGCAGATAAAGCAAATTTCCCAATTTTTACACATTATCTGTTTACTCTGCCCCAGATTTACCACTTGTATTCACTACCATGTTCTGGCTGTGGCTATCTTCAGGAACTGTGCTTGCTTTCACAGAGGAGACCAGGGCCAAGTAAAGAACAGCTGGTGGCTAACAGGGTCCAGGAGCAGAGAGGCGACTATCCTTACCAGTACAGGTTGCCAGGTGAAGGCTACAGACCTGAAGGCAAGGCTGGGCCAGGTGCTGTTGGGAGAGCTTTTGCTGGGAGAGGCTTGAGTATCAGCAAGCCCCATCTTACTCCATGGCTGCAGGGTGGGGGCTGGTACAGCACGGGTGACCACATATCATCTCTGCCTGTGGTAAAGGTCCAACAGTGGTGTCCTACAAGACCGCCAAGCCTAGAAGGGATGGAGCTAGCCCTCCTCAGCAAGGCTTCAGCGTGCTGTGGTAGACTATGGATGTCCTTCCTCTGTAATCACCAGCAGGGCAGCCCCACTTGCGACCTCTTTCTCAGCCCAGGGTCTCCAAGATAACCTTTCCAGAAGTGGACCTGCAGGTAGGTCCTAAGGCACAATTGGCTCAACAGCCTCACCTTGAGTAATTGTGCTTTCTACTGAGCTGATGACCCATTACCACCAGCCAGAGGGGATACTGCTTGTATCCCCTAGGGGTGTCAGATCTTGCTCTGGAGTTGAGAGTCAACTCAAAGACAGCAAAGGCCTAGTCTCTGGTGTGTAGCTTTAGCTAGGTGACATCAATCACAGCCCATAGCTGCTAGGCTAGGCCAGCACGGAATGAGAAGCCTCCTCATACTGGGGTATCTGGAAAAGTGCTCTTGCCCCAGATAGTCTAACCTCATGGCTGACGCTGACAGCTTTCAGGAGCGGAGCCAGGAAACCTACTTTCCCAGTGCAAGCCCCTGAAAGCACTCCCCTCTAGGAGGGTCTCAGTTCCGATCAAGGCTGGCACACCTACAGTCCTCTGGGCTGCCCGAGTGTGACAAGTCTGTACTAACTCATTTAGGGATGACGGGAAGGACAAGGGAGGACACTGGGCTGACACCTGCTGCTTCCTCATCAGATGGGAATATGTCTAGTGCTCCTGACTCCAGCTTCTCACAACAGAAAAAGCCCAATGTAGTTCTCCATTTTAATGTCAAGTTTAAAAAAAAAAAAAAACTCAGATAACCACTCAAACAAGCACCTCCGACAGTGGAAGGATGGCAGCTTAGCCAGGAGCCTGGGACAGGCAACTGGCACCCTGCAGGCTCAGTGGACATTGGCTGGTGTCCGGGCTATCTCACTAGCCCTGGGGGCAGACGTGATTTGTCCTGAGCTTCCCAGAGCAAAGGGCAGATCGGCCTGGTGGGCATAGTTGACCCCAACACAGGTTCTTCTTGGCAAGCAATAGGCAACCCAGGCTTGCAGTGGCCTGGTATGCATTTTACAAAGCCAGGGAGCTGCCCTGGGTGTCTGTAGCAGGCCCCAGCCATTGCTAAAGCATGGAGTAGGCTTGTTTAGGGTCCTCAGAGGCTACCAGAAGGACATGCTATCTATCGCCCCTCAGTTAAAACAGGTGGCCCCTAAGTAGAGTTCTGTGGCCTAACTTGAGGGCTCCTGAAAGGCAACAGGGGGCCCCCACATGTCTTGGGCGCTGAGAGTCAAGGCAACGTAGACTGGGAGCACTGTGGCATCAGGCCCAGGCTGGTTGAGGATGGAGTGCACACAGGAGTCTGAGTCAGGACTCGGAGTCAGGAATCCGGCTACTGAACTGGGATGAAGCTAGGAAGGTCAAGACAGGTCAAGCCTTGGCTTCGACTCTCAGGTCCCCCCTGCTGTCCTCCATGCCATCCTCTGAGAGCAGCTGTGGTGGTGCTGAGGGCTGTGGTCCTCTTAGGTCTCCATCCGGTAGGCTTATCGCCTGCACAGAATTCTCCAAGGGACTCCTCAGCTCCTGGGCCTGGGCCAGGGGCTGGTGGCGGCCACGCCGGCAGTGCCTCAAGCCATCCAGCCCAGCCCAGGCAAAGCAGGTGACAGACATCATCAGGAAGTATACAAAGTAGATACTGAACTGAAAGAGAGAGAGTCGGGGTGACCTCACACTTGGTGCTCACCACCCCCACCCTTGCCCCACCTAGGAGTCCCACTGAGGTTCTCCATGACCCAGCCTCCAGGTGGCCAGAGGACACTGAGGAGTCACAGGCCTTGCCCCAAGGTTGGTTGGTTCCTTTCCCTCTTTCTCACAGCATGGTCAACCACAAAAGGGCTACTTATCATTTTCCCAAAGATCCCCAGAGCCTGTGTCTGGCATCTGTGTGGTCCTTTAGGGTTGGTCTTTTAGGCTTTAGGAATTGACGCCCACGGCCACCAGAAGGGTTCCAGGAAAATTCCCTAGGGCTTTTTCTAGGCCATGGCCACAATCAAGACTGAACAGAGCCTCAGTTCTGACCAAGAGGGGCCAGGCAGCCATGGGTCACACCTCTTCCTAAAGGACCAGATACATTCCCTCCCAGAGAGGAACCTGGTTATTGCCAGAAGGTCCGAGAACTTGGAGTGGCCCCAGTAGAGGCAGGTTAGCTTCTCGAAGCCCCTTGGGACCTTTTCGGAAATGATCACACCTCAAACAAACTCAGAAACGCCCATTAGGGACTTCTGTTATGAAGAAGGGTTTACATCCTTTCCCCAGTCCCCTGTGTCAATCAAACTCCTGGATGCTGTGGGCCACACCCACTGGGGAAGGGTAGAGAGAAGTGTCAGCCAGCCAGACCTCAGGATTCATGGCAAGCACTAGGGGTATTTCATGGATCTTGGATCGGAAGCAGCGGGAAGTTCAGCACAGGTAGAGCCCAGCTACAGGGAAAGTACCACATGACTACCTCAATCAGACACAAAGGAGGACCTTTTGGGTGGGGTCAAGCAAGACTCACAGGAAGAAACTTAAATCTCACAGCGTTCCTGGTAATGACCTTGCTTCTTAGCCTTACCCTCATGATATCAGTAACAACCACTCAGGGAGTGACTGGACCCAACACACACACCCCTGGAGCAATGAGGTATTCACTGCTCACTGCACTGAGGGGACCACTATGGGAGTTAGAACTCCTACTCTACCCAAAGGGCAGGCCATCCTACACTGCCAGGGCTGAGAGGGCAAGGCTTTTCCACCCCTTAGCTTTAGCACACAGTACCAGGAGACCTTTGACCTCTGCTATTGCTTCAGTACATCAGAAACCGCTGACCTCACACCAAGGCCTCTGGACACCAAAGGCAGCCAGTAGGTACTGAAATCATGTGAGAAAATTTTTAGAGCGACCACCATGAAATAGGTCAGCAAACAGCAAGAATAATCCAGAAATACAAAGAACAGAGAGTTGGCAAGAAATAAGGGATGAAAGGTAAGACACATTCAGACCAAAGAAGCTAACCAAGAGGAAACAATGCAAGAAGGGCTTGTGGGACAAGGGGAATTAATCGATCAGGAGAGACCACAGCACACACAGCCTTCATTTCTCTGTCCTTGCTTCTATTTTTCGAGACAGGCTCACTAGGTAGCTCAGGTGGCCTTGAACTCACAATCCTCCAGTTTTAGCTCCCTTGAGTGCTGGCATTCAATGTATGCCTGGCTTGTATTTTCTAAGTTATGTCTGGTGGTGAAAACAGAGTTGATTAACACTGTCTTATGTGATTCTGAAGGTATACAGGCAAAACATCAGGGCAATAGCCTGTCAACAATAAGAGGGCCCAGTGATATAGTCTTCGCACGACAGACACATAATACCCTTGCAGTCCCAAACATCAAATCATTGCTGTCTTCTAGAGACAGGTAGCATAGAAGAAAGTCTGGTTTCACGAATGCATCCAAGAGAAAAGCACATAACAACCCGTGCGAATGGCTAATAGGAAAGAGGTATATCAAGCGCTGATGAAGATTTGGGGAAATGGGTTCTCATACCCTGCTGGTAAGACAGCAATGGTCCCCACTGGGAATCCACAGCTCCACTTCTGGGCTCCCATCCAGGAGAAATAAAACCTATGTTCATATGAACTCGAGGGAAGAACTTGTAAGATGCGAGGACTGAACACAGTCCACAGTGCATTGGAAGTTCAGCAGCTAGCCCAGGCACACCCACAGCACCGTCTGCCCTGGTCTGAGGAAAAGCCCAAGGGCACGTGCACGCACAGGAGGATGGAGCCACCTCCAGGGAGAACACCTATATTCCCAGACCACAGATGAAGGGAGTGGCTGTAGCCATGAAAGGATCCTGTGGTGATTTGAATATGCATGGCCCAGGGAGGAGCACTACTAGGAACTGTGGCCTTATTGGAGTAGGCGTGGCCTTGTTGGAGGAAGTGTGTCACTGTGGGCGTGGGCTTTGAAACCCTCCTCCTGGCTGCCTTCAGATGAAAATATAGAACTCTCAGCTCCTCCTACACCATGCCTTCCTGGATCCTGCCATGCTCCCGCCTTGATGATAATGGACTGAACGTCTGAACCTGTAAGCCAGCCCCAATTAAATGCTGTCCTTAGAAGAGTTGCTTTGGTCATGGTGTCTCTTCATAGCAATGAAGCCCTAACTAAGTCAGATCCCAAGGGTCCCGAAGGGATGAAATGTTCTGGATTTTGACTGAAAATCAACATCCTGATTATGACACTGAACTAAAGAAATAGGACCCCGAGTCTCTGCATGGTTTCTTAAACTGGACGTGAATGAAACCAAACTTTAAAAAACCAGCAAATCCAGGTTGGCTCCTAGCCAGTCCCCAGGTTCCACCCTGGTTCTCAGTGGTCTCTGGCTCTGCTCCCACTCCCTGGACTCCTGCCCTAGCCCGTCTCCCAACTCAGGATGAGACGTGAGATGGGAGAGCAGGAGACGGAATCTCTTTTGACTACGAACAAAACGCAATGCTCAAAGAAAACCAGCCAGAGAAAAATCAGCACACATCTTGGAATGTGCCTGGACGGAGCAGGAGTTAACATCGGAATACTCCTCGACCCTCAGGGGGACTTGCCGATGAAAAGGACTGAGCAAGCAACACCCAGGAAGAGAAGTTCTCTTGCGGCCAACCCTTTGGGAAAGAGCTGACCCAGACTCCTTCCTATAAGCCTCCTACCCCACTCCTCTGAAGCACACTAGCAAGGGGGTCTTTGCAGGGCAGCTGGAATGGAACAGGACCATAGACAACAAAGGGCAGCACCAGTCTCTAAAGAGCCTCTCAGGCCCCACCCACTTGGCACCCAAAGGCTGAACAAGAGGCAGCAATAGGGGGAGAAGGGGGAGGAGACAGAGAGCACAGTGTCCTTAGAAATCAATGACTAAGCCGGGCAGTGGTGGCGCACGCCTTTAATCCCAGCACTTGGGAGGCAGAGGCAGGCGGATTTCTGAGTTTGAGGCCAGCCTGGTCTACAGTGTGAGTTCCAGGACAGCCAGGGGTACACAGAGAAACCCTGTCTCGAAAAACCAAAAAAAAAAAAAGAAGAAGAAGAAGAAGAAATCAATGACTAAAAGACAAATCACATGTTAAATGTGCTATAGCTGGGGCCAATCAGGTTCCCCCTGGGGGTTCTTTGGACAGCCCCCCTCCACTTTAGAAGCCCCTACTCTTTGAGGACAGACAGTCTCCTCTGGGGGTTAGGGGGAGCTCGTGCCTTTCCAAGCCAGTGAATTGTTTCCTGGTCCAACCTACCCCCACCTCACCCAGAACTGTGAGTCAACCCTGGGCTTCCGTGTACCCAAGAGCCATTGGGCGGTAATGAAGAATTATGTAGTCTGCTCGGTCTGGATCTACCACTCTATGGACCAGGCAAGACTTGACTGTTCTGGGTTCGGTCTGCAGCACTGAGGGACTGTGGAGAGCTAGAGACAAGTACAAATTTTAAATGGCAAGACTGCACCCTCCCTTCACGGATCTCTTCAGATGCTACCAGCCTGTTCCCAGTGAGATGCTGGTCTGCTCTTGCGTGCGGAAGCACCTGCTCCACCTGCCTCCTCGCTGGCCCACCAGACTTAACGCCAAGCTTCAGTGACAGGGTTGTGCCAACTTGGGGCCCTTGGTGGGTCAGCACTCCTCCATGGCACACACCAACCTGCTGGCCTACAGCCCAGGGAAACCAAAGGCTTTCACAGGTTGCCTAGGATACCGGCCAGTCATAGCCTGGGGACTGTCGCTAAGGAGCCTAGTTACCATCCCTCCTCATGTGCTGACTATCAAGTCCATTTGGCTTGGCCAGTACCTACGTCACACTGTTCCCATCACAGACTAGGCAGGGGGTTTCTCAGATACAAGCGAAACTCTGGCTATTGTGAGAAAACTGAAGACATCCCAAGAGGGGCCAGTAGGCCAACGCCAGCTCCAACCAAAGGGTTCTGCCTATCTCCTTCCTAAACATAATACTTCAGACATCATCTGATCTGGGCTTAAGACCATTAGGTCTTGACGACCTCCAAAGGGATGTGACAGAAAGTTAAGGAGCTGTAACCACATGAGGTCACTGGGACAGGCCCAGGCGAGGACACACAGGTCTGATGAAGATGCCTCAGAAATGGCTGACAACTCATCCAGTCTTGGAGGCCCAGCCACCTGGGGCTCCAAGTCCCAGAGGTCCAACCTGGACCTGGACAGGAGCAGGGTAGGGACACATGGATAGATAAAAGTGGCTAACTTTGGGGTTGGAGAGATGGCTCAGAGGTTAAGAGCAATGGCTGTTCTTCCAAAGGTCCCGAGTTCAATTCCTGGCACATACATGGTGGTTATGAAACCATCTATAATGAGATCTGGTGCCCTCTTCTGGTGTGTAGGCATACTTGTAGATGGAATACTATATAACATATACTACTATAATTATATATACATTAAATATAATAAACATAATTATTATATAAAATATAATAAATAAATTTTTAAAAATGGCTAACTTTACCACATCAAGTGCCCCTGGAAATGTGAACCTGTCCAACTGTCTTACTACCTGCTACCAATGTGGGTCACACTCTGTATACTCCAGGGACAATGGGCTTGTGGCCTGTGTCCTCTGACAATAAACCACACCAGGAGGCTCCACCATGACTACCTGATGAGTTTCCCTCCCCCAACGACATAGGACTGAAGTTGGGACTTACCTGCTTACTGACTTGGAGACCCAGACCCCGCTTGTCAGAGACCACGAGCGTGATGGAGGTCTTAAGTGCAGTGGCGAGGAAAGTATTGATCCCGAAGACCAATGCACAGAGCTCTTTAGACAGGGACGATGCAATCTGAAAACTGGGAGGTTTAAAAAAAAAAAACAAAAACAAACCTATGATCAAACTCACCGAGTAGGGCAGGGGTAAGAACAGAGCCAGACATCATTAATCACAGCACGGGAGGCAGAAGATTCCAGGCCAGTCTGGTCTATATAGTGAGATCCCATCGAATTAAACAAATACATTAACAAGAACAATAAAAAACGAACAAATAGCCGGGCGGTGGTGGCGCACGCCTTTAATCCCAGCACTTGGGAGGCAGAGGCAGGTGGATTTCTGAGCTCGAGAGTTCCAGGCCAGCCTGGTCTACAGGGTGAGTTCCAGGACAGCCAGGGCTACACAGAGAAACCCTGTCTCGAAAAAAAAAAACAAAAAAACAAAAAAACAAATAAAACCAGAGCCAGGGAGACTCCTGTATCTACCCAGGAATACAGCAAAGTATCAAGTCATACAACCCTACCACCAGACTGAGCTAAGCCACAGACACACAACTCTGAGATTCCCATCCATACCCCCACCCTGTGCACCTGTGCATAGTGCTGCCCTCCCAATATGTGCCCACCAGCCAATAGCAGCTGACCCAGGGCAGGCGTGGGGCTCAGGACATGCCTATAGAGACTGACTCCAGAAGACTGGGAACAGGAATGTGCTCTCAACTCGGAGGGCAGGAGTATGTGGCCAGGGGATGTGAGAAGGCAGTCTGAGGAGGGAGAAGGCAGCATTAGGAAGCCCTGGAAGGTAGGCAGGAGCCAAGCTCTTCCCAGAAGAGGCAGACAGTGGGCAAGCAAACGGTGGCACATACCAGACGGCAAGTGGCTGTGTGTGGTGTGAGCACGTGCACAGCGCAAATGCCAAGTACATATGGTGTATGAAACCTATGGTATACATATATGCATGTGTATATGTGTATATATGTGTATGTATGTGTACATACATAGATAGTCTATATATATGGCATACTGATTCATGTACATGTGTAGTATAAACATGGACTGTGTAGTGTCAGTGCACATGTAGTGGATGGTGTGTGTATGTGTATGTCCATCTGGTGATGTGAGCACACGTCTGGGAGCCTATTTTTCGTGTCTTTTAGACAAGGTCTCACCACGAATCTCTGGCCGATCTGGAACTCACAAGAGCTCTGCCTGCTTCTGCCTCCTGAGGTCTGAGCTTGGAAGTAGTGTTTAGAGAAGCTGGGAGAGCAAGAGTCCAGAAAGAGAGGGGGTCAAAAGCAGGAGGGGGCGCAGGTAATCAAATGGAAGGAGGGTCTCCATGGTGAGAAGGTGGGGTGCTGGTCAACTTTAGGTAGTCTATAGGACGGCAACACTATAGGGGTTCAGGAAGGACTGGCAGAGGCGGGAAAGAGCTGGGATTGCAGGGGACGCTCTGTCCTTATAGGGGTTGTGGGACCTAAGGAAACCAGTGTAGTAGACACAGCCGAAAGTGTCTAGACAGGTCAGGCCTCCCACCTAACTCCCCCACATTGCCTTAGGCTCCCCAACAAAACCTTCCAGAAGTCCCTCCCATACCATTTCACTCACGTGGCAACGGGCACAAGGAACTGGTAGGCCCCACGGAAAAGCACGAAGGTCACGTAGCAGACCCAGATGTTTTGGGTCTGTAACATACAGAAGACCAGGCCGGCCTGGATGGCTATCACACTTGCGATGACCAGCTTGGACCACAGAGCCCAGCGGATGTTCACGAAGCCCGCGGAGAAGGACGTGATGGCGCCTGGAGATAGGAGGCATTCAGTCATGGCTGAGCTCAGGCAAGTGGAACCATGGGAGAGAAGGACTGAGTTAGGGTGGCTCTGGAGCGGGGACAAGGTAGGGCAAGGGACAGGGCAGCCTACACTGGTGGTCTATCCCAGGGCAAGGGGTAAGGCTGGACTACAGGCCCACTGGGGTCCAGCTGGGACCCTCTAGGGCCCTCCAGTGCATACTCAGCAGTGTGGAGGCAGCATCTACGGCGCCATTGTAGTTGAGGTTGTTGTCAATGTTTTTCCACAGGACATGTACATAGTAGGTGATCAGGTAGTAGCCTGTAGAGTTGAAGACCCACCAGAGGCACCAGAGACGCAGCTGTGGTTGCCGGGCATTTTCCACCAGTTCACTTAGCATGCGCACCAGGAAGGAGTCCCTGCAAGTGCCCAGCACACGCTCTAGTTTCCCAGGCTCTGGCCGGCCGGGCCCCGGGTGCATCTGATCCAGTTCACAGGGCAAAGCTCCACGCACATGTATACTTCGGTTGAAAAAGAGGCTCCGCTTAGGACGCTTTAGAAAGAGGGAGAGGCCCAGGCTGAAGAGGATGAAGCCCAGGGAGATGCAGTTGAGCATATAGGTGGAGATCCGTCCCAGCGTGAGCAGCATCTGGCCCATCACAGAGCTGATGAAGACTCCCAGCAGTACCGCCGCCCGGGAGTAGCTGGCCATGCGCTGGTAGCGGGAGGGGTGCACCAGGGAGAATATGTAGGAGGAGTAGGCAATGCGCGCCGCCATGGTAACGCTGTAGAAGACTTCCATGAGTTGCATGTGCGCTACCGAGGTGCCAAACAGCAGCAACAGCCACACGCACACGAAGCTCAGGCACTGCAGGACCAGGACTGGCTTGTATCGCAGGTAGTCGGTGAGCAGGAACACGGGTACCAGCACGGCCAGGTGGGAGTAGGGCAGCATCGGAATGATCTCGTTGGTCACCTGTGTGGACAGGCAGGCACTGGTTAGTAAGGCCACTTGGCTGCGTCCCTGAGTACTACCGAGTGAGCAAGCCAGAGTCTACCTTGCCCCCGTCTCCCTGATGACTGCTACGGGAGCCTAGAAACCAAGATGGTTTTTCTAGCCTGAGAAACTGCATGACTCACGGGAAGCTGTCAGACTGTAAGGGAGGCCATCATTCATTTACACGTGGGTCACCTTACCTAGGCTTTCTGATGTGCACTCATCTGAAACCTAGGTAGAGAAGAGTACAAAGGCCAGTAGACACCAACCCAGGTTTCTTCAGTCCCTATTACAAGAGGATGGTATCAGAGATGGGGGTGGGGTGAGGGGGGAACATAACAGCTAGGGAGGACACACGGAAGGGAAGGCCAGGAGGAGGAGGAGGCCATCTCACCCCACCCCACCTCACTAGGCAGAACTGGGCATGCTGCCCGCAGAATCCAATTTTCACAGCCTTCATTAAGGCCAGCTTCTAGTAGCCACACTCACCCGGCTCCTGCTGTGGCACAGAGATTGGGGGTTGGGGAGGAGCTATCTGCTATAAGGAGAGTATCGGAGGACATTGCCTCAGACTCTTCTTTACTGCCGAAGGAAGCCAAGGCCCACTGGCAGTGTGGGCAGGCCAAGCCAGGTGTCTCTAGGGCCTCGTGGATGCTCTGTAGGGAGAGCCTCCATCCCGGTGAAACCCAAATGTCCTCCTGACCTCTCTCCCTGGGTGGCGGACATGCTTGGAATCTCCTCCTAGGCCAAAACGAGATTCAGCAGAGGCTGTCTTAGACCTCGTTTTTAGATCCAACTAATGTGCACACAGGGGAGCCGGATGGGTCCTCCTGGGCTCCCAGAGACTGGGACTCAGGTCACACTGACTTACACCCTAGTGTTAACTCAGCCCAACCACTAGCAAGCGGCCAACCTTACTCGAAAGAACCCAATGCCCCAAGAAACCAGCAGATACCACAGCCGCCCTGCTTCACGGATGGAAAATTAAAGACCTCACAAACAGAACCTGGCTCAGTATGTAAGGGAAGTGGAAAGCCCAGATGGACTGCTGACACCCCTAGGCCAAGTGCAGGCTGCCTCAGGCCAACCACAAGCTACCCCGGGGCAGCTGATAAATCAGACCTCAGAGATGAGGCTCAGGAAGTAGGAGGGCCAATATACAAAGAAGCCCCAGAGAATCAAGAAAATCTGTCTTTCCTGCCTAGTGGTTCCTCCTGATCCGGTGCCCCACAGAGATCAAGTTTCACCCCAAATAATCCTGATTACCCTAGGCCCTCAAGGTCCCTTCCACAATGATCCACCTCCTGCCAGGACATTCCAGAGATTTCAGCACCAGTGAGGGCTCCGGCTGCAAACAGCCTGAGGTCCCTGGCCTGCTCTACATCACTCTGGCTCGGTTAAGGGGCCGACGGGATGGGGGTGAGGGGTAGGGGTGTCTCTGTGCTGGCCTGTATCCTGGGTCCCATTTGGAAGGCTCCTGGGGAAGAGGTATCTATAAAAGGTCTCTACAACATGTAGGATCTGTCAGGTAGCCAGCCAACTGGTTGGTATAAGCTGTCTTCCTGCCACCTAAGCCCAGCACTGCCCAACGATCCCCAGGCATCAGAGGATCCTAATTGGTTGTGCAGTCCAGAGCTAGTCCTGATCTAGATACAGAAGGACATAGGGCAAAGGGGCAGCACCCAAGCTAACACTACGAGCATAGGATCGGCTGCTCATTAACAGAACAGGAGGCCTGCTCTGATACAGCATGCAGGGACACAGGAACCATGGCATGACCCAGTCCGAGAGAACACTCTCTGAGAATGGGAAAGATGGCTATACCTGAGGGGGGCAGGGGTTCCCAAGAGCCACAGCTGTAATGGAAAGAACCAGGCAGACCTAGACCGTGAGTACCTTCACGAACTCAGAACAGGGAAAGGGAAGACTCAGAAGATGGCTAACCTAGCCAGTGCCTGTCTTGCTGAGTTAACGAGAAAGGCAACCATTCTCAAGGACAGCAGCAATGCACTGGGACTGCCAGGAGCCCCCCCTCCGCCATCCAGGAAAGAAATGGAAGGGACTCAGTGTCTAGATAACAGGCCACTGACAGAGTCTACACAGTCCAGGTAGCAACCTGAATATGAAGCAGGGGGATCAGGCCAGATGAACAGGAGCTCTTAAGTCAAGGTCTGCTGTGCACACAGACACACAGACAAAGGACACACATACACACCCTTCTTAAGAGAATTCTGGAATACTCCGAAACCTTTACACCTAAGGATTCTAACCAATTCCCTACAACTTAGTATTCCCTAGACTGACCAAAAACCAAACCAAACCAAACCACACAGACAAAGGACACACATATGCACCCTTCTGAAGAGAATTCTGGAATACTCCTAAACCTTTATACCTAAGGATTCTAACCAATTCCCTACAACTTAGTATTCCCCGGACTGACCAAAAACCAAACCAAACCACACAGACACAGACAGACAGACAGACAGACAGACACACACACACACACACACACACACACACACACACACCCTAAAACCAAAATCTCAAAGCCAAACCCTGGGAGCTAAGCTGCTCAGCCCACTGAAGCACCAGAAGAGTGGGTGACTCATTCTGCAGATAAGCCTTAGATATGAAGAGTCTGAATCTATGTGGATAAACCTCCAGAAATCAGGCAGGAAGATATGCTGTAAAGACAGAGGCCCAGCAAGAACAGACTGCCTAGTACCCAGCTGGCTTCCTAACCTCCCTTGTAGCCAGAAGGGCTAAGACCACGGGACTCACCCTTGGGCTGGTGAACAGTACCTGTGATCATTGTTTTCTAGTGACACTTAAGGCTTGGCAGAATGCCTTAACCTCTGGAATCTGTGTGTGTGTGTGTGCATGAGTTTGTGTGTGTAAGGGTGTACAAGCATAGGCACACGTGTGGAGGCCAAAGTGTTCTTCAGGTGCTTATCTACTTGTTTTTCAAGGGAGGGTTTGTCACTGGGACCTGGGGCTCAATGGCTAAGCTGCCTGGCAAGTGAACCCCAGGGATCTGCTAGCCTCTGCCTTCCCCACATGGCTAGCTTTTTATGCAAGTGCTAAGATTCAAACTCAGGTCTTCATGTGCAGCTATGACATTACTGGCTGTGAATTAGAAAGGACTCTTCTTTTTTTTCTTTTATTGTATTATAATGGAAGCTCCATATGCATGCTTGTTCCTATAACAGGGGTGGTGAACAGCACCTGCTCACCAAAAGCAGAGAGGCTACAAACCAGGGTGAGCAAGGAGCAACACCCTTCGTCCTTTTTTGTCCAGCCCTGTCTTGTATGGTATGAGGTGCAAGTCCAAAAAAAAAAAAAAAAGTCTCCATGTCTGTTTGGATTTAAGCTCATTAGTGGACTTTCAATAGGACCCTCTGTCCCCATGGCTGAGTAAGAAGAAAACACCTTCAATAATCTCTTTACATAAATAGCTAAGTCCCTACCAGAGGCAGGTGCCAAGCAAGGTGGGGCGTGGTTGGGCCTGGGCTTTCTTACCAGGAGGGCGGATGAGCCATCTGGTAGTAGAAGTCAGCACTCTTTCAGTTACATTCTTCTTCTTCCTCAGTCCCAAAGCAGGCACAGGGTTCCTTTCTATGATACCCAGTGACACACTATCTGGTTGGGTTCATGACTCAGAGAGCCAAAGCTCTCTGTGGGCTCGGTGTAGCAGGTGGAGGTTAGGGTGGAGCCAAACCCACATCCTACCCAGTCTCCCACAGCCTCAGCTCTCAAACTAAGAGAACCCCCACCCCATGCTGCTCCTCCCCCAACCCCCTCATAGCCCAGCAACATGCCTGCTCCCTGGTGAAGTTACTATGCTCCAGGAGGTAGGGTGTGATGAAGCTCTCCCCTGGCCGCAACTGTGCCATGAAGCCGAAGAAGCAGAGATAGAACACTAGGCATCGCCAGGATTTAAGTTCGTGGTCCTGCCTGGGCTCTTCGCATGCCTGCTTTTCTGCCACCTGGCCAGAGGGCACCATGTTGCCCAGCTCCTCATGGAACCTGGTGAACAAAGATGACACTCCACCTGGAAGGAAGGAAAAGCAGAGAGTTTGGTGTCAGCGAAGGAGCCCACAGGTAACCCGCTCTTTCCCAATCTTTCAGCTAAGACCCAGTGTTAGCCTTGGGTGGCTGCAGGCCCCAGACCCAAATCTTCAACCTACTTTGCCAACCTGAGAACTATCAGGAGCCCACTCCCTCAGACTAGCCCAGTACAGCCTCCAGGAGTCCTCAAGCAAACCAGTTTCAACCATGCAGGCCTATTTAAATATTAATCAAAGTCATGTTAAATTAACTAATTATCTTTATTAAATAAATAAATAACACTTAAAATTTTAGTTTGGGAGCCAGGCAGTGGTGGCGCACGCCTTTAATTCCAGCACTCAGGAAGCAGAGACAGGCTCATTTCTGAGTTTGAGGTCACCCTGGCTTACAGAGTGAGTTCCAGGACAGCTAGGGCTACATAGAGAAACCCTGTTTCAAAAAATAAATAAATATGGGGCTGGTGAGATGGCTCAGCGGTTAAGAGCACTGACTGCTCTTCCGTTGGTCATGAGTTCAAATCCCAGCAACCACAAGGTGGCTTATAACCAACCATCCGTAATGAGATCTGATGCCCTTGGGAAAAAAAAAAAAAAAACAAAAACAGAAACAAAAAGCCTCCATGCAAGCGGGGCCAGAGCAAGAGGGAGAAGGGAAGGGGGAAATATAAATAAAATTCCCTCTGGGAACACCTCAGATTCATTTCAAGGGCTTGGCAGCCTGGCACACAGAGCTAAGAACAGCTCACCTCGGCTGGTGTTGAGAACTGGTGCTCTAATAGAGAAGGTAAGAGGAAGAGGCTCTGCTAGGCTAGGACACCAGTTGCCCCCTAGGACACAACATGGAGGTCAGTCAGAGTGGCTTTGAGGGCTTTGAGTCTACATATCTTGACTCGTAGCCCTCCCCCCCACCCCCCGCAGCTCTAAGGGAAGCTAGTCACAGGGAGAACAGTCAGTGGGAGAGGCAGGTGAGCTGAAGGGACCAAGGGCTAGCAAGGGTGAGGCAAAGCAAGCTCTGAGAAGGGTTAAAGGGCAGAGCAGGAGCTGATCCGAGGGATCCCACAGTCCTCTCTAGGACTCCTAGAGGAAGAGGTGGATCTGATGTTCAGATGACTACAGACCTCCTCCCAAAGGTAGGTCAAGTCCAGCCACAGCTGGCCCATCCAGCTGCGGACACCTGACCTCACACCATACAGGCCCGAGAAAGTCTTGAGTATTTGTGGTGCCCGTAAGAACCAAGCTGCTCATGTTTTTGTCTCACGGTTCTGTCCTGGACACGGGCTGCTCTGGTACCGGTGAGTACTGCCAGTTGTCCTTGCTAAGAGAAAGGCAGGGGCTACATCCACTCATCAGGACCCCAAGTTATCCCGGCTCATGGGCAGATCTACATCTCTCTACGTCATAGGTTCATGTGCTTTTGTATAAAGCATTGGTGTAAGGGAGCTGTCGTAGGACGGTGTGCCTACCCCTGGAGTAGAGGCTGGGCATCATGTACAGGGAGTAGTGGGGGTGGGGCTGAGGGTGTACCCCTTCTACAACAGGCTCCCCGATATCTCCTCTGTTCCTCATTACAGCCTGTTCCAGGAAGTGTCTGCAAATCTGAGCTAAGTGAGAGTTTCCCTTCAATCCCTGAGTAACAGACAAAGAAAACTCCTGATATAAGAACTTTGGGGGGAGATCAGATTCTCTGCCCATGGTCCCTACACTGAGACCGAGGATGTTCTCTGAGTTCTTACTAAACACAGAGGTTCAAGAAAGAAAGGTGACCTGTGACCCTTCAGCGTGTGCGCTCCCTGTAAAGACTGACCAGGAGCCCTTCCTTTAACCCCTGCTTTTACGACAAGGGAGAAGCAGGGTGACAGTCAAGACCCTGAAGAAGCAGGAGTTTGTGGGCTTGTTGGGAGCTTCAAGGAAGGGTGAGGCAGGGAGCAGAATTCCAGAGGTCCAGAAGGTCTGGGAAGATGCTAGGGCAACGGGTACCCCGCCCCCCGAAGTTGCAGAGCCTGGGACAGGACCCAAGTTCTCATGGGAGAATGGAAGCAAGGACCCAGGCAGGGGGCCTGGCTGAAGAAAACACAAACACAGGCTATATTACCTCAGCTGGACAAACTCTGAGGCTTGCTTTGCTTCCTCGCAAACTTCCCCTGAGCTACACAAACAGCCAATAAGGGCATAGCACTCAGGAGGTTCAGCCTGTGGCACTGACCCCTCCAGAGGGGCTGAGGCATGTGCAGGTAGAGCTAAGCCCTTCCCCGACATGTATTGCTAGGGCTGGCCAGGTTGGGCAATTGTCCATGGCAACCGCGTTTGCCTAAACTAAAGCACCCTCCAGGCTAAGAGGTGGCCAGGAATATAGCTAAATCTAGGATTCTGTGCCTAATACGGGCTTAAGAATCCCCAAGAATTGGCCTTCATCTGAAAGGTCACCCCCAGAGATAACAGGAACACCTTTACTTGGTATCTCTTGGAACCCAGGGGTAGCAGAAGTTATCAGACACCAGTACAGAATAAACTCTATATTACTCCCTTATGTATAGTGTCACAGACTCCTGAGGCTGCTACACCCAGGGAACTATACTTTTGTACCACAGTGAGAGTCCATCAGGGCCCTGCCCAGGGGTCTGTAAGACGGCCTGGCTTCAGTCCTTCAACAGGTACCCCACCATAGCTATAAAGACCACCCCACCATAGCTATAAAAGCCACCCCACCATAGCTATAAAGACCACACCACCATAGCTATAAAAACCACCCCACCATAGCTATAAAGACCACTTGAAGACCTCCTCCTGGAGCCCCACTAGGATTACCAGGCTGTTCTGCCCTAACGAGTGCTAAGATGGATAAGTAGCTCGGCTAGTGCTCAAGGTCCAGGAAATAGACTCCTGCTTCTCCTCTGAGATTCTGAACACTCCATCCACCCACACACCCGGCCCACACTTAGGTCTGCTCAAGGGGACTACTATATCACAAGATGTTCTGCAATCTCAGTGACAAGACCCAGGAGCCCCTGGGCTTCTATGCTCAGACCACGTGACTGATGAGGATCCAGGTATGTGCTCACAGGGGACACATGGGCATCTCCTATTCTCTAGGGAACCACATTCCAAGTCATCTCCCCTGCCCAGCTCATGCCTTCCACCATAAACACCCGTTCAACAGAAAAACCTAATTGCCTGGGGACTAGGAATTAGGGACTGGCTCTTGGTAAAGCCACAAGCTCCATCACTAATCCCCACTCCAAGCTCCTGGGACAACCCCCTCCCCCAACACACACACACACACACACACACACACACACACACACACACACACTCTGGCTCTTCTCTGATCTAAGCCAGGAGGTATTGCCTGGGTCTGAACAAAGCCCAGTGCCCTCATACCTAGGAGGCAGAAACAGGAACTGTCAGGCCCTCTGGCCTTCTCCAGCTGTGGCTCTGCTCAAACTTGAAACAGTTTTGTAAAGATCTGCCTTCCCCAGTTCCAGAGCAGCAGGGACAGCTCTGCCACCCTCCCACAGGTTTTGCTAACGCGCATGGGATGGACTAGGGATTGAGAGCTTAGAAACACATACTTCCCAGAGCTTCTAGGTCTGGAGCTGCCACAAGCCAGGCAGAGGAAAAGCTGCTACTGAGGAGAGTGGCCCAGAGTTCAGGGTCCTAGTCAAAATCTATCATCCACGCTGTCACTGAAGGAAAAGGGGGCCCAAACTCTGGTTTGCATGGGGTAGGTGGCTTCACCCTGGATTCTCAGCACCTCCAGGAATGAATGTCAAGGGAGTGCCAGGCTATTACCTAGGAAGAGACTGTCCCAGTCAGTTTATGACACTCTATTGTAGGTGACATCACTCCCACATAGTTAAAATGTCCAGCTCTGACACAACACTCTTCTTCTCTATAGCCCGGCTGCTCTTCCTAACAAAGCTAGGCTCACAGCCAGAGGAAAGATGGGGGTAGGGGGGTATCCTGTCCTCTACAGTTAAAACTGTGTATGGAAGGGAGCTCATAGCTTGTGGGCATCACAGTGGAGGTAGCCTCCATATGCCCTGAGCATAGCGTTGCTTCTTAACTTGCAACCTCTTCCAGGCAACTGAAAGAAATCCCTGGCACCCCAGGTGGGTTGTGGTGTTGGGAGAGGGGCACCACACAGTCCTTTCTGACCAGCCTAGTACCTGCATGAGAGATGGGGGGGGGGGGGGTGTTGGGTAAGAAGTGTGGAATACAACTGTTCACAAAATTCTTTCCGCGGCACCCCAAAAACCAAAGCAAAAGCGAATAGCGCTTTCGTTTTATCTTAAAACAGGAAGGTTCCTTTTAATCTTGGAATGACTGTATTAAGGAAAGGGGGTGGAGGGACCCCAAAAAAGCACCCTTGCCCTTCTCTCATTGTGGTAGCTGAATGTTGACTGTATCTTTGCCACAGGCTCAAATGCCCAGAATCAATCTCTTTCCTCAGCTCCAGTGCCTTGTTGGAGGGCACATCTAGCTCCCTAGCCTGAAGAACGCGTGACACTCTGCAAAGTCAGAGGGCCTGTGTTCCACTGAGTCCATCCGTGCTGCTCCGGGAGTCCTTAAGTCTCCCTGGGAGGGAGCTATTTCTTTACAGTCAGGCAAGCAACTGTAAGGAGTTAGTCTATCCTCACTGAGAGAAGGCCCACAATCACCTTCTGGC